GTCCGGCGTCAGGGCGGCCCCCACCAACGACGCCACCTGGTGGCCGAGGTCCCTGAAAGACTCAGAGACCTGTGACCGGAAGTCCCTTTCCGACGGTAGCACCGCCGGCTGTCGAGAGCTACCGGCCGATTCGACCCTAGACTTCGCCGAGTCAGGGTCGGGTTGCTCCCCCTATACCAGGACGCGCCTGAGCGCCTTGGAGGGGGAGCCCCCTGCTCGAGGGCGGAGCTCAGTGTGAGAACACCCCCAGCAGTGACAACCTCACCCCTCGGCTCAGGGCCGGGGGTAGAAAACCTGGATGGCTTACCTCTCTTACCGGAAGATGAGGACGAATCCCTCTTCCGGCGAGAAGTTCGCCGACTGGGTAGGGGAGCCTTTACAGCGGACCCGGCGTGCAAACAAAGTTTGCACGGCGAGGCCTCGCTGCAAGGTCGGCATAAGGGACAGGCATCATGGGGGTCCTGCTCTCCGTAGAAGTGAGAACACCCATGTGCTGAACCACGACGCATCCCTGAATCCATAATTGTTACGAAATAAATAATCAAATAACAACAGTTATTAATACAAATAAACGTAACAAAAATAAATGGAGTGAAAAAACACAACTCCAACAAACAAATACGAACGAAAGCAAAAGCTAACGAAACGTAAAAAAGCAAAGCAAAATATACGGTCGAATAAATAATACGACCGATAAAAAGCGAAAAAACTTCACGAAAAAACCGAACAGCGCAAAACACGTAGATACGCGCTCGGTGCGTGGAGTATAGCAAAATGGCCGAACAAAGGCCGAACAAAGGCCGGCCGATTAAGGCCTAAAAGCAGGATATATTAACTAAATAAACGTCTGCAAAGACTGTTATAGTTAAGGATGGGTTTAAAGCAATAAACCGATATATAAATAATCGGCTATAAGGTAGACTTAAGCTAAAAGGAAAAGGAAGGCACTCAGCTGAATATAGCACGTCCGCCCGCTCCGGTAGCCATAAAGATAAGAGGAAGGGAAATAACTCTATGTTCATGACGTGAAGGCTCATGGTCGTAGGGAGGGCGGGATTTTTGAATCTTTTGTTTTTGGGATACAAAGATGGGTGTAGGTACCATATTTGCATACTAAAGTTATGGTAATTATTACTGAAATGAAATTTCACCCTAACTTATAGCCCCTTTCGACACTTCAACTCAAATGTTGACATTTTCACTCAAATAAAATAACAACTCACGGGCAAAAAGTAAACATGAGATGTTTTATTTCAATGGCTGTTTGATCGCATAGTTCTTGGTAAAATGAGATATTTACCTGTGCACCTGTATAAACAAAAGGATTAGGTGTTTCGATACCCTGAAATTACATTGTGCATATGGGCCTGTTGACACCGTTACGGCTGACCGATCACACTCATTACCGACCAGGAAAATTTACCTGAGACAATGTGGCGTCTGAATGTTCGACACAAACATGGAATTTTTTGTACGATTTAGAAGGGACGGACCACAAAAAATATTCGACACAACCACAGTATTCGATTCAACAGTGTTCGATCCATCCGTGTTTAATTTACTAAGATAAGGAGGAGAAAAAATCGGGACCGAACGAAACGTTCGACTCATCCGATGTAATCGACTCATGTGTGTTCGACACAAGTGAGTTTTACTGTATATGAAAACAAAATTAGAGGATACTGACATAATCTGATAGAATGCAAGATGCTGTTAACATTTCTCAGCACATGCAAAAAGGCTGTAACAACTTCTAGACCTACAAAATGCAATTATGATATATGAATGGGTTTAATGTTAATTTACAATAATCTGTTCAGTTCAGAGCATTTTACCCAACAAAAATGATATTTTCTCAACGATTGGTGACAGTTATATATATTCTGAAAAATTTATCTTCATGAATAGTGCCACTCTTGACAACTGTACATATTGATTTTTCCTAATAATGTATATATACATATATGTAATGCTCAGTCTCATTTTCATATTTCATAATCCTTCATTAATATAATGAAAAACACATGTTTTAGTACTTTCAATGTCAACCAATTGTGATTCAGATATTGAGACCCATGTATCATCTGTTCGTGAGCTCTGTAAATTTACATTTGTACTTGTTTTGATACATTTAGGTTAGTTCATCAATGGTTTGTGAAACCTGGTGTTAAACACCAGTATCAACTATACCTTTATTTCCTGGTCTGTGATAGATAGACATGTTGTGGCCTGATTTATTAAAGTTTTATTTTGTGTGCAAAATAAACTGAATTTTTATTGCAAAGTATAGCAAAAAAATTGAAAAACAAACTACATGATATTTTATTAGTATCACAAGTCGAGATCACTACGGCTTCTGTAATAACTTGACATACAGATAAATAAAATGCTTTAAACATTTAGCATGGAAAACAAATAAATGAATATATCTGGTAGATAACTTATGAATCATTACAAACCTGGAAATTGATTGAATTTATTTTGTAAAGATCTAATTATTTTGTTATTTTCATGGTATGTTTTAGACATAAATAAAGATATCAGGTTAGGATAAGAATTTTTTTATTGCAAACTAAGATTTATCCTTATGTCGATATTGTCAGAGCTTTTCAATTGTCCATGTTTTCGCAGAAATGAATGGGTATGTAGTACTTATCGATATCAGTAGAAACTACACATGCATTACTTATTGATAGAAATGAGAAATAGTACTATAGTCCTAACACTGGTAGTTTTACCAGAAAGAAACAGTATCTTTCTTGGTGATGAAAAATGGGATTTCCTAAAGAAATAGAGTGAATGAGGAAAAATCTTCCAAGTCCCATGTGTATACCAATACAGTGTTTTTCGCATATTCGAGGATATGTATATCCAGAGACCGGCTCTGTTATTATATGCATAATTTGTTGATCCATTTCCGGTCTATCATGCTTATTTTGCATTTTTGTTTTTAGGTCATCTGACCCAATGGGTCTGATGACCTATTGCGATCGCCTTTTGTCCAGCGTCGTCCGTCGTCTATTGTAAACATTTTCAACTTCTTCTCTAGTTCTACATGTCTCATTGAGCTGAAACTTACCTGAAATGATCCTGACATGATCCTGACCAAAGCTTGTTAATTTTGGGTTGGTCCGAAATCCAACATGGCCGCCATCTTGAAAACACATTTTCGACTTCTTCTCAAGTTCCATCAGTGCAATGGAGAATAAAACTTGCATGACATGATCATGACGTGGCACTGACCAAAGTTTGTTAATTTTGGGTTGGTCTGAAATCCAAGATGGCCGCCATTTTGAAAATACCTTGAAAACACATTTTCAAATTCTTCTCAAGTTCTACTTGTGACATTGAGCTGAAACTTACCTGAAATGATCATGACATGGTCCTGACCAACGTTTGTTAATTTTTGGTTGGTCCGAAATCCAAGATGGCTGCCATCTTGAAAACACATTTTCGACTTCTTTTTAAGTTCCACCAGTGTGATTGAGCCAAAACCTGCATGAAATGATCATGACATGGCACTGACCAAAGTTTGTTTCTTCAAACATCTTCTGAATAACCAGAACACCCAGGATGATGATATTTGGCCTGTAGCATGCTGGGATGAAGGTTTACGAAGTTTGTTGAAATGAATAACCTTAACCCATTTTCAAGTTGGTGGCTGAGTGCCCTTAATTCATAAATCCATGTGAAATAAGTTCAAAATTTGAAATCTTGTATTTTATGTCAGATGACCGTTAAGGCCCATGGGCCTCTCTTTAGTTTTGCCTTTGTTTTTATTGATGATTGTTTGATGTTTCTCTTTAGAATTATTTGCATTTGTCCAATTTGTTTGCGTTTTGTTTCTATTTGAGTGAGAATGTTAATTGGTCCAGAGTCAGTACTAGAGGGATGTTTCTTAATGTTTTCTTAATGTTTATGTTCCCTTATGGTCCAAGTTTGTCCTGTCTAATTTTGAGATAAAACACAAATTGTGGATAGGCACATGGTTTATTATCACTATTAATTGAGAAGTATTGAAAGGGTATTTTTAGCCTACCATCATCAGTCTGTGCTTTGTCTGTCTGCCTGTCTGTCAAAAAACCTTGTTATTGCTATTTCTTGAGAAGATTAATCCTTCTTACAGGTTTCATATGAAGGTTCCCCTTGGTCTCTAGTTGTACCATATTGATTTTGGACTCATCTGAAAAACAAAATGGCTGACAAGCATTTTTGATTTGGACAAAGAAAGATTTTTCTTGGTATTTCTTAAGAAGTACTAGATGGATCTTTCTCAAATTTCATTTATTGTAGGTTCTTCATTGATCCCTAGTACTTGGTCTAGTCTTTTGATTTTGGAACTGATAAGAAAACCAATATTACTGACAGGCCAGGCAACTGTTTTGCATTTGACAAAAATTATTTTGGCTAGTATTACTGAAAAGGAATTGTCAAAATTCATAAAATAATGTGTACAAATAGAGGATAGAATAGAAGACCAAACAAAGTTGGGCACCAAGATCCCTCTTGGATGTTCCCCATGGTCCCTAGATATACCTGTTTAATTTTTAAACACATCATTGAAACAAATTGGCTGATTGACTGCGGTTTTTGATTTTCACATTTGAACTTTGTTATTGTTATTTGTTGAGAAGTACTAGAATGATATTTCTCAAACTTGATGTATAGGCTCCCTTTGGTACCAAGCTGTGCCCCATCAATTTTGTGTCTACTCAAGAAAACAAAATACATGTAGCTGACCGAAAAACATTTTAGATTTTGATAGTTGAAGATTGTTATCACTATTTGTCAGAAAGTTCTCCTTAGCTCTTTTTTACATTTTAAATGTAGCATTTTCTTGTTATCTAATGATTAAGAGGAAAAGAGAAAAGAATGATTAGTCTTACATAGAATTAAAAATTTAATGGTGCCAAATCATCTCTCTTGGATCTCTAAATGTTACTGTTAAAATTTATTATTTACACATTTTGTATATAAAATTTTGTTTTCGTATCTTGCAGACGATTTGTGTCCGGAACCTGGGGAGTTGGTTCTTCAGTGGCCTATCGAACGTGGGGTAACAATGATTTTGTGGATGACGAGGTACAGTTAAGACGAGTCTAGTGTCTCAAGTTGGCTTTCTATGCTGATCTACATCACACTGCTCGATGCATCTACATGAGTATATGTAATACATGTACATGAGAATTGTGATGTCTTTATGTGTGCTAATGAATACAATACCAGTGAAATGAACCATTTGATTAATTGGTGAAATCTTTCTTACGAATGAAAAGGGACCATGTTGTGATTGATATAAGAACTAATTGAAGGAGAGGTATTCAGATTGACCATCATATTAATGAATAGGTTCCAATAATTTCACACTAAGAAAAGTCTCAAAGTAGTGGTACATGTGTAAAGAAACAGTTATTTGTAATAAGTGTATCGCACATAGTGGCATCCTCACAGTAAGATTTATACGTCCGTCAGAGACAAAATTGTTCATACGAGAAACATGATTATGTCTCATCAGGCACATGGTTATACCTCGTCAGACACATTATTACGCCCACATCAGGTACACTGTTATGCCTTATCAGAAACATGGTTTTACCCCGTAAGAGACATTATTACACCCCCATCAGGTAATCAGTTATGCCCCATCAGAAACATGGTTTTACCTCGTAAGAGACATTATTAAACCCCCATCAGGTAATCAGTTATGCCCCATCAGAAACATGGTTTTACCTCGTAAGAGACATTATTACACCCCCATCAGGTAATCAGTTATGCCCCATCAGAAACATGGTTTTACCTCGTAAGAGACATTATTACACCCCCATCAGGTAATCAGTTATGCCCCATCAGAAACATGGTTTTACCTCGTAAGAGACATTATTACACCCCCATCAGGTAATCAGTTATGCCCCATCAGAAACTTGGTTTTACCTCGTAAGAGATATTATTACACCCCCATCAGGTACATGCTTATGCCCTATCAGAAACATGGTTTTACCTTGTCAGAGACATTATTACACCCCCATCAGGTAATCAGTTATGCCCCATCAGAAACATGGTTTTACCTTGTCAGAGACATTATTACACCCCCATCAGGTAATCAGTTATGCCCCATCAGAAACATGGTTTTACCTCGTAAGAGTCATTATTATGCCCCCATCAGGCACACTGTTATGCCCCATCAGAAACATGGTTTTACCTCGCCGGAGATATTATTACGCCCCTTCAGTGGCATGATTACGCCCCATCATTAACATAATATTGTTTATTAGTCATGTGTTTTTTACTAGAATTAATCAGAAATATGAGATATCATTGTTCCTTGCAGTAGCACCTGAATACTGTATATCCAATTAGTTACGTGTTATCAGATATAGACAGATTAGACCCAGAAAGTTGCCATGTTTTGAAATCCATCAAAGTTCAGCTCTTTTTCGTTTCTGTTATGAGCAAGGATTAAGGCTTATACCTTTTGAAAGCCAAAACTGTAATAGTTTGTTTTGATCTCTTTCCCTCAACGAGAATCCACTAATATTTTGCCATCCTGGTATCACAGGACCCTGCTATTCATAGACATAGCAGATTGTTTATATCTAAAACATGTATGAATATTTTTACCTGCTTGATTTTGAACATTGTATATTGTAGATTTATGATAAACTGCTGTTTATATATTTCTATGTGAAGATGTTACGTTGATGTATTTGTGTTAAAAACATAACTGTAAATGTGAGATAACTAACAAACTAACTTTTTTTCACACTTGACTACAGACACTTAGATGTGCCTAATAATACGTTGTCCTCAACTTGTATTTACATGAATATTTGACTAGCTAGTAACAGGCCTTCTACTTATCTTACTTACCATATACAGGGAAACATTGCTGTGGGTTATTTTTACCTATATACCAGGTATTATTTTTATTTTCACCTAATGTAAAGTTTGCCTGTAATACATCAAAGATATATATTTGTAAATAAATATGAGAATTCAGCCAAACTCTATTTTTGTCACCCAAATGACAAAATTATGAAGTTAAGTTTTAACGACAGTGAAATTTCCTTGTGTACAGTATATGTTATATAAATTGACTGTATTATAGACATCATGGTGAGAGTTTGGGACGAATGCTATGTGCCTAGGTTGATATCATCATCAAGTTTCACAATTGGTCCTGAAATAAGTTTAACTAAATAAACAAGAAGGTGCATTTTTTTGTGGTACTTACAAAATCATTTGTGTTGTGTATTGTACCTCAGCATGATTGATGAAGAGGACTAGATTATGCTAGAATCATTGTTGTCAATTGTTTCATTTTTTTAAACTAATTTTTGTAAGATTTTGGGTACATGATAAATACAAATAAGGCAGGTTTACTTTTGACCTATTTTGGGTGATTTTTATAGGGAGCTTCCCCCTCCCCCAATTATCATCAGTATCCTTGTATAATTCTGTTGTCAAAGGCTGTTATAAGCCTTAAATTAGCTTACACATCTCAGTTCCTCAGAGATGATAATATAATAATCTAAAAAGTCACATGTGACTGCTTTTGATATGCATTAGCAACCAGATCTTAAATTTTCACCTGTAACAAACATTTTCCCTTCCTGAGTTCAGTTGAATAGTTCAAGGTAGACATGTAAATTTTTGTATTCTTTTAAAATTAAATGCAAACATTTTGTTTTTTTAATTTGGCTTTTCGGAGAAATACTCAGAATAAGGGATGTCACTTTTGTGTACATAAATTTGAGGGACATTTTTGGGTTAATTTTTGGATTAATTTTTGACTGAAACTTTTTATCTTTATTCATCCTTAGGAATATAGTTCAGCTGTTCTGTTGCAGGCAAATAAAAAAAAACCGAAGCAAAGACAAAAAAAAGCAAAAATATTTCTGACTCAACAGTAATATCTATAACATAATGGCTTGAATAGTACAAGTATATTAGGCTCAGATTTGTCTAATTAGTTTCATTTTGGTTGGCCTTGATAGATTTTTAGGTAGCAGTACACCATTTCTCTGTGTGACCATGGGTGATAAGTTTGTTAATTAGATTACCCCATTATAAAAGTTTTAATCAAAATTTTGAAAAATAAATCCTTGCTAAAATTGGTCTTTTCATGTTGAAGTGGACAATGTGGGGATTAATTTTTTTCCCGAATAATATTTATTTAGCATTGTGTTGGGTATTACTGTTTGGGCAGTCTCGAATCTGTGTCTATGCACCAAAAACTAGCTTTACAGGAAGTGAAATTTTCATAGTGTTTAGATGTGGTCATGTTATAAAGGATTTCCACGTTGGAATTTGCTGAAATGTACGGGGGGTAGTTTGTTACCATGACAGTGTTGTTGATATTAAGATAGGTGTTCAGAAATAAATTTCTTCTATAAAGTTGTAGTGTTAGGTTGGAATTAGTTGTATTTCTGTGTTTTTAGCATTTTATCAGTAGGTAACCATGACAATCACATGTCAGAAATCAGAGGAAATTTTTGATTTACACAAATTTTATCTCTCTACTGTTAATGTAATTGTTGTGTAATTTATAAATACATATACATGTAATGATGTATTTTTCATAACCAATCTGCTATACCTGTATATCTCAAACATGACCAATAATTTCAGAAAAAATGCAAATGAACTGTTTCCTTCTACCTTACACATGTATTATAAGTTTTCAGTTCTGACGTTTTATGTAAGCTTTTCTTCTTTCATATTAACATTTTTTACTAATAATTTTTTTCTATTATGTATTATCCCTTTCTAATGGCACTAAAAACTTGTTACATGGAGTTCCTCCACATAATAGTCTTATTTGTGTTGTCTATTAATTAGTGTTGGTTGTGTCTCAATAACTTTCCTCTTTCTGTTTTCTACCAGTAGCTTTTCTTATTTTTCCTCTCTTTTTTTTTTATCATACAATGATATGTATTTTTTGATTTTGTACAATTAGCTTTCTGTATACCTGTCTTTTTAGAATTATTTTGTTTTGTTTTGATTTGATTCATTTTTTTTTGTTTTTCTTTTCTTTTCTTCAGAGAATTTCTATCAACCGTCGATAAGAACATGTACAAGGGACCTATCTCAACATGTACAGTTAGTCAGGAACTTCTGTCATTCTGTGCTATCTTCTGTGATCTGTATGACAATCATTAGACCAGGAAGAAACTCCTGCTAATATGTGTTAGGTTGAGGAAAAACTTTAGTTGTAAGTCTGCAGTGATAATAAACGTTACATTCTTATGGAGTTATTTGCTGTTAAAATAAACATACCGGGAAATTAGATTGTTTTTTAATCAGTTGAAAATAGGTGTATTAATATTCTAAGGTGGTTAGATTTGCACTCCACTGTTGAGAGGGAGCAGAGATCTTGTACTTGTATAACCAAGTTTTTACCCCCAAACTCATGATCAGCCCATGCCATGAGTCAGTACAGTAAACTTACATATTTTACTGGTAGTCTTTGAATGCTTGTCATCCTGAAAGTGTCGTGTTAAAATTTGATTGTGCTACTTGTTGTCTACATATGCTGCTGTCCATGAACCAATATTTACCCACCAAAGCAGTAAGTCACTGGTCCATGAACCAGTATTTACCCACCAAAGCAGTAAGTCACTGGTCCATGAACCAGTATATACCCACCAAAGCAGTAAGTCACTGGTCCATGAACCAGTATTTACCCACCAAAGCAGTAAGTCACTGGTCCATGAACCAGTATATACCCACCAAAGCAGTAACTCACTGGTCCATGAACCAGTATTTACCACCAAATCAGAAAGCCACTAGCCCATGAACCAGTAACTATAAAGAAACCCAGAAAGTCACTGGTCGATGATCAATTATTTACCCACTGATTCATCAAGCACCTGTCCATGAATTAGTTTTTGCAGATCACTGGGCCGTGAAAATGCTTATATATACAATTGATTCATGAACCTGTAGTTATGTACAATGTTTATTTGATAAATATTGATTCATCTACAAATCAACCAAAAGTATTTGGTTCTAACTATACATCAATATGATAAAATAGTGACTGACATGTGACCAGCTCGTTGTGATCTCTCTGAATACTGTACAAAGCATGTCCCTTAAATGTCCTGTTTAGACAGAACACATATGTAATTACTTGTTTTTTTCATATTGTATAGAAGTCTGCATGACTCTCTTTTTGCTTTAAAAATAATTTATCTTTTGCGAAATATTGTAGAGAATAGACAATATTTTTACAAGTGTAATGATTTCTGGTAGTTAAGGTGTAATTAAGTTGTGCTGTACTCTGATAGGTAGGTTTATAAGTGTTAATTATTTGATGCAATATATCATAAAGTGCTCACATTATTATTAATATTATTTTTTCTTTATGTAATTCTTTTGTGTAAACATCTTTTTTGATGTATTTAAAGCTCAAGTGGGCCAAACCTGTTCCATACTGTTTATTACAAAGATATTTGATTAAATATAACTTCTCAAGAATAAGGAATAAGACTTTTGGTCAGCTTAGTACTGTCCTCAAATATGTTTATATTCTATCAGTTTAATGCAAATTCCTTAATTGGTGTCCTGCATGGCTTTGAATCAGGGGAGATAATTTCAGGTTTTGATTAACTGTTGAAGATCACGTTTATGTATGTTTGGTTTTTTTTATTTTAATAGTGCTTTTTGTTCAATCAGAGCCCTTTAATGATAGTTTTTGAGATATTTATAATTTATGTAAATTATGTACATGTGTATGTGAATGGTTTACACAGGATCTCTATAAGGTACTATAAATCACTAGATTAAAGTTTTTGTCCGCATATTAAGGATTTTACCGGATTCTGTTTTTGCATAATGTTTGAGTACTGGTAATTGTATGCAGAATACATTTATTTGAAAATTTTAATTCCTTTAATGCAAACATGACCATGTAAATTATGGTTATTTATAGAACATAGGACTGTGTTTGTTTTATATCCCATGTACACAAATACATTTTTGACTCATTATTACATTCCCAAAATATCCTTTTATACTTATGCTGGTACATTGCTGTTGTATCATCAGTATACCAGTATATGTCATGTATTTCATTGCATTACCACTATTTAGTATTGGGTCTCACATATGTCATTGTTTAGTGCTAGGTTCATATTTCATCGTTTAAATAAAGAAATTAATTTCATTGATTAGTATCATGCATGTCATATTTCATTGTTAGGTATCAGATGTGTCATATCTCATTGTTAGGTATCAGGTGTGTCATATCTCATTGTTAGGTATCAGGTGTGTCATATCTCATTGTTAGGTATCAGGTGTGTCATATCTCATTGTTAGGTATCAGGTGTGTCATATCTCATTATTAGAGGTGTGTCATATCTCATTGTTAGGTATCAGGTGTGTCATATCTCATTGTTAGGTATCAGGTGTGTCATACTTCATGGTTTATACAAGGTGTGTCATATCTCATTGTTAAGATTCAGGTGTGTCATATCTCATTGTTAGGTATCAGATGTGTCATATCTCATTGTAAGGTATCAGGTGTGTCATATATCTCATTGTTAGGTATCAGGTGTGTCATATCTCATTGTGAGGTATCAGGTGTGTCATATATCTTGGTTAGTTATCAGGTGTGTCATATCTCATTGTTAGGTATCAGGTGTGTCATATCTCATTGTTAGGTATCAGGTGTGTCATATCTCATTGTTAGGTATCAGGTGTGTCATATCTCATTGTTAGGTATCAGGTGCGTCATATCTCATTGTTAGGCATCATGTATGTCATTCTTCATGGTTTATACAAGGTGTGTCATATCTCATTGTTTAGTATCATGTATATCATATTTCATCATTTGTCCTATGCCCAAAAAGGAAGTACAATATGTGAATTTTGATTACATACTCAAGTTACAATACCATATTCTATGTTATAGTGCACCTACCCTGATACACATCCCATAGATATGATATTAATCCCAAAGACCAAGCAAATACAGCTGAATTTTAACACTTTTATTTCAAATTATTTATTTCTGTGGCTTCCCAAGTGTACAATAAAATGGTTATATCAGATACATTAGATCTCTGAATTTGCAATTAATTTGGTTGTTTAACAAGTTGACCCAAGTGATCTGTTTCAGTTGAGGTCAACTTCCATTCAGATCAATACAGACATTAATTATATAATTGTAAACAATGTCTTTTCTTTAATGAAACTAGCAAATGACAAGTTGTATTATAATAGTGTATTTTGCTTGTGATGTGACAATGGTATGAAGGTCATTGCTATACATGTTGTTTTTCATGTTCTTTATTTTTGATCTGATTTAGATAAGAGAAGACAGATCTGTATGGCAATAAAAACAATAGTTCTGTCATGATTTTTAGCAGTAAAGAATATTTATTGTTGAAACTCAAAATATTTTGAATAATTCAGGTTTAAATATTCTTTTCATTTTTTTTCTGTGATACTAAAGTCATACCTGCCAACGCAATTTATATTCAAAGTTTATAAATATAACAATTTTGTATGATCTGAAGTAAAGTTTATCATTATTTTAATGTATAAATTTGTTACTATAAATGTTTGTACAAAAGATGATTTTGTCTCATCACGTATGGAGTATTGTGATCTCGCTGTTGATTTGGTCAAGATAACACTGGTACTATATCAAATTAATAATGGCGTCCTTTTCCATTCCTCTGTAAATAGACTACATTTGCCTGGTATTGACACATAGATCACATAAATGTCATAGATAAGTACCATATTCATCCTTCAATAAGTCATGTGTGGTAATAACCTCACCCATATCTATTACTATTCGGTAGTGTTACCCAGAAAATATAAGTAGGGCTTGATACAGGATAAATATGGTATGTATGTACTGTCAGTTCTCAAACTGACTTCTTTCTGTGATTTATGTTGATTTATGAAGTATGACGTAAGAATCTATAAAACTGCACATATATTTATATGTTTGTAGTAAATTCTATTGTTAAAACGTGTGCACATGTATATGCCATATATCTGCAGAGAAGAAAATGATTATTTGTGATTTTAACTGATAATTTGGTTTATCACTCAGTTGTGGTGACAAATATCATTTTTAATTTGATAATAATTTTCAAATAACATGGTTCTATGGTTTTGCAAATATTGATTCTCCATTGATTGATTCAGGTTTCTCTTGTGTAGATAAAAATGATCTGAATGGCATAATGATATTATACTGAGTGAAGGGTGTTTGTATTTGAATGATAGCTTAAGTGTTTTGCGCTATATGCGTATATATGTCCGTCATCCAATATTAATCAGGGTTTATAACCGTAATAAATTAATTGTTGAATTAAACTTCAGATTAATTGTTTGTCTTTTATTATGTCTTTATAACAAAAAATTTTGTTCCTTACAAATGAGGGCCACGAAAGGTCATTCTGTAAAACTTCTAATACTGCACCCAAATAAAGTTGGCACATACAAATGGGTTCCATCCATCTACATGTATGTGTGCTTCTGTTCGTTTATCCATGGGTTTTTAGCCCACCATCATCAGATGGTGGGGTATTCAAATCGCCCTGCGTCCGTGGTCTGTCGTCCGTCCGTCCGTAAACAATTCTTGTCCGTATTTCTGGGAACAATTCATATGTTGCCGCTATTTTTTGGACTGGGAACAGGCAGCCATCTTGGATTTTGGAAGTAAAAGTTTGTTACCGCTATTTCTGGAAAGTACTGGATCTTTCTCAAATGTCATATGCAGTTTCCCCTTGGTCCCTAGTTGTGCATTGTACCTTTTTTGGACTGATTTGAATTCAAGATGGCCGACAGGCAGCCAACCTTGGATTTTGGAAGTAAAAGTTTGTTACCGCTATTTCTTGGAAAGTACTGGATGGATCTTTCTCAAATTTCATATGCAGGTTCCCCTTGGTCCCTAGTTGTGCAATGTGTCTTTTTTGGACTGATTTGAATTAAAGATGGCCGACAGGCAGCCATCTTGGATTTTGGAAGTAAAAGTTTGTTACCACTATTTCTGGGAAAGTACTGGATGGATCTGTCTCCAATTTCATTTGCAGATTCCCCTTGGTCATCATTGTACCTTTTTTGGATTTTGGAACAGGCAGCCATAAAAGTTTGTTACCGCTATTTCTTGGAAAGTACTGGATGGATCTGTCTCAAATTTCATATGCAGTTTCCCCTTGGTCCTTAGTTGTGCATTGTACCTTTTTTGGACTGATTCGAATTCAAGATGGCTGACAGGCAACCATCTTGGATTTTGAGAGTAAAATCTTGTTACCGCTATTTCTGAGGAAGTACTGGATGGATACTTCTGATATTTTATAGGTATTGGTTTCCCTTGGTCCCTAGTTGTGCATTGTGCTTTTTTTGGACTGAATTGAAATCAAGGTGGCCCACAGACAGCCATCTTTGATGTCGACAGTAATACAGCACAAGCATATTTTCTTCGATATTCTATCCTATTGATTCAAGACTATGTCCATTATCCACCTGTAACTGACTGCTATCTAATAATACTTTGGGATCTTTTTCAAATGATATTTGCTAATAGGTGCTTAATAAAAATATCTTGTGCCATCATTGAGTACATTCAATGAAGACCAGTTCATGAACATTTACAAAACCTGTAACAAAAAAAAAAATAAATCTTCAAGAACTGAAAACAGATCCTCAAATGGTGGGCGCCAAGATCCCTCTGGGATCTCTTGTTCCATTGTATATTTCCAAAGGAGTTTCCGAGTTTGAATGTTTTTGGTGACTGTGGAAACAGAGTCAAAACCACTTCTTTAACCCATTTGCAGAATTTATTTCCCAGATTCTTTTGATTATGAACGTCCTGTACAATTCTATCTTAATTCTGCTGCAGAGGAACTGTTTCAGGTCATCTGACTCATAGGCCAAGATGACCTATAATGGTGTTTTGTCCATCGTTGTGCGCAGATGTAAACTTTTCCTTTAAACTATTTCTCCTAAATACCTGATGATTTCAACAAAGTTTAATCTGAAATATCATTACATGTGAGGAGTCAATCAATTTTTAAATTCAGAAAAATGATTTCATTCCCTGAGGAATCCGGGGCAGGGCACCAAAAGGGGAAGTTTGCATTAAATCCCAACTCTTCCTCAACACCTTGGTATATCTCATCCAAATTTGGTCTGAAAATCATTAGGGGATGGCAATCATTTCTTAAATTCAGAAGGTTGATTTGACCATGGGAGATCATTTCTGAAATGAATGATTTGATTTCCAGATGACTGTCCAAGTTCAACTTTATTATATCCAAATGCGATACAGCAATGTATATGTAATGATCAAAATTCATATATGTAATGTAAAAGATAGCGGAGGACAATTCCCAAGACCCATGGTTTCCTTGGTTATGCTTTTATAACTGACAATTCTGTTTTGTACAACTGAGGGCCATGATAGCTCATCATTAGTGCATTGGCTAACAAATCCTCAAGTGAAGATCCAAGGTGTATGGTTTAATGCATATTAGGGTTTGTCTTGTGTATTTTGACAAGGCACTCCACCCTAATTGCTATAGATTGCATGTAATGGACCTCCAGTATGTTGTTCAATGAAGTATATGTAGCAACTGCCTAGAACAAGGAGACCCCACATCAAAACGATCCTTTTCACAGGGCTAACAAACATTCTTACAACTAAAGTACAATCAATGTTTTCAGAAGCTGATACCAAAATAAAAGAAAATGTAGGGGTGTGACCTCTATATAGCAACAAACCTGGGAAAAAAAATCAGTCTCAAAAAACTGCTTTGCCACAGAGAACTTCTGTTTACTTCGATCAGTTGAGTGTCAGACTAGTAAGTCAGATGTCCTGGGTTCCAATACTAGCGGAGGCATTGAAATAAATAATGACCACTTTTACATAGCTACCTAGTATTAAAAAAAAATGAGACCACGAGTATAGCATGATTTATTATCTCTCTGATGGAAACACCTATATACCATTGGGTCAAATCTAATTGGTGTGCATTATGCAACATAATTTGGTTTACTCATACAAATATGACAAAAATTGTCCACATCAGAAGCAAGGGGTTAGTACAGTATCTTCATTTTCAGCAATTGATCAGATGATCAAGTCATAGCAATATTCAGTTTTTTTTTTGGAAAATACAAAGAAATTGGAAAATTTATAGCTATTGAATGAAATACACAGTACGTTTATGCCACAATTTTTTAAAAATATTGCTCACCTGGCCCAAAGGAGTGCTGAGGTCATCTATCCATATCTGAGGGGCCAGAAGATGTGTCTTAAAAGGGGAATTTATCAAATTCTTTAAGACATTTCTGGAAGAATAATTGGATTTTGTCCAGATTTGGCTTGAAGCATTCTCGGATGAAGGGGACTCACTTTTTTTTTTTATTTTTTAAAAATAAATGACGGGTCTCTTTATCTACATGTACCTCCTGGGTGGAAGAGGCAGTGCCCAATAGGGGAAATTCTGCAAAATCTTTCTCCTGTAAAAGAGTGTTACGATTCCATCCCAATATGGTCTGGAGCATCAGCTTGGGTGAAGGAAAATCAATTATGCATATATGTTGTGTCCCGATCCTCTGGTGTTGGGAGGGAAATGGAACAACCATATCCCTTTCTCCAATGGACATTGTCAAACGTTCCCTATAAATTATCCCCAACTTAATGCAAAATAGTATGGCATTATCGGGAAATAGGTATAAACATGTTAAAAGATTTTTCCTTCTGTTTATATAAGAGTCTTTTTTAATCTTTCAATGATGAAGTTGCATTTCGGCGATGGCATGGGTTCGGGAAAGGCATACAAATTTTCACTCCCGCCTTCAGTCGAACGGTAGTTATTTCCCTTTAATATCCTGTTTCCGGCCAAGATGAAAGATTGGCGAAGCACGATGACCCCAACCTAAATTTTAATGCTATTCCTCAAAAAGGCAATAGAGGCTTGTTTACTTTGGTTTGTTGTTCTCATCACTACTTAATGACCAGTAGTTGATATAAAATACAGAGGTAATACGGAATCTACAGTAAGTGAATTCGAAAGATACCACCAGCTGACCATGATAAATACGTTTTTGACAACTGTGATATCTGGGTACAAATATGTTTTTGACAACTGTAATGTCTCGGTACAAACATGTTTTGACAACTGTAATCTCTGGGTACAAATATGTTTTTGACAACTGTAATATCTGGGTACAAATATGTTTTAACAACTGTAATGTCTAGGTACAAATATGTTTTTGACAACTGTAATGTCTCGGTACAAACATGTTTTGACAACTATAATCTCTGGGTACAAATATGTTTTGACAGCTGTAATATCTGGGTACATATCTGTTTTTGACAACTGTAATGTCTATGTACAAATACGTTTTTGACAGCTTTAATGTCTGTGTGCACGCCAATTGTCTCGACAGTAACTCTGTACAAAACTCTACACAAAACTCTACAGGTGTTCTTGGAGATCTGAAATGTCCTAAATGTGATAACCTCGGTAATTCCAAATATCACATGTATGTTATCAAACCATGACCAGAGGTAAATGTCACAAATGAGAGCATCCTTAACAGTAAGACCAAGTCCGTGGTATGAATTGCTCATTAAGCTCTTTTCAGATCATTGAATCTTTCATACCAGATATTTTCATCAGAACTAAAATGTGGCTAAACCTGACTTTGGAGACTAGCTTCACTTTTGTATTCTATTAATGCAGAACTATCACTTGAAGTGGGAGTCTTATTGTAGTAACACAAACTAATTACCTTTCTCCAGAACAAATGGTCAATTTCTCACTATGGTTTAACATTTCTAAGAAACAAGTTATTACTTGTGACAAATTGTAAGCAATTTCAGGAATATTGGATTGTGTTATGGGACATAAATGTCTCTAATCCATCTTAGACCCAGTAAAGGAACATTGTTTTTGGAGTAAATCCAATAAGGACTAATGAGAAATGATGTTAAGAATGATCAAGAACATATTGTCTAACAGAAGTGTTTGGTATTGATGTCCCTATTTTAACAGCTTTTAAGGACAGTGTTCCATAGCTTTCCAGATCTGAGCTTACCAATCCATAGGGACAACAATGAAATTAAAAGACAAGTAAATAAAAAAGTGGGGGCATAAATTATTAGGATTTAAAGGTACAGACTGGTATAGATGTGCATGCAAACAGTGCCAATGGTACAAATGAATACGCAGCTCAACTTAACATCTTTATAAAATCTAGCCTGGCACTGTATCTGTTTCCCCTACCCATTTGGGTAAGGACCACCTTATATCATTATTGGGGTTAACTTATTTTGAGAATTTGGCCTCATTCTATTTTTTCATAAGATGTAAATATAACTTTGTTCAAAGTGATGCTGTGTTTAGTAGTGGAGAAACTTGTCTAGATTTTAGTTTGAAGTGGTTGTGTGAATAGTAGTAGAACAGCTTGGCTAGAAAAATTGTCATGAAGAAAAATATATTGTGATTATGTATTTATACCTGATATGCATTACAGATGTTTATACTTTATAGATTGGATGTGAATCTGCCTGATAATCCATTAACAACATAAATAGAAAAGATTAATCAGAAGATGGCCTCCAACTTCAGTGGAGCACTTCAACTCACTGATCTGAATGATTTCATCACACCTTCCCAGGTATACAGCATCTGCTCAATAGTACATTGTATAAAATTTCATAATATCATTGAATCCCTTGACATATTTTTGATTTCACTCTTACTTGTGTATGGGAGCCTTAATTGCCTCAAATTTCATCACCTAATCAAATAAAAGAGAAAATCTTGATGCTTATCCATTATCTTTCATTGAAGGAATGTGTCAAACCTGTGAAAATAGACAGACGGCCTGGCAAAGTTGGAAAAATCAAGATAGAAGATGATGGGAGTTACATTGAAGTATTAGAGGTAATATGATATTGTTCTTGCAAGATAGGTCTTGTATATATCTTGTATATATGTATACAGGTTGGCATCTAGTTTGTGGTTGATTTGAATTACCATAAAGTATTTGATTTTATCAAACAAGTGTTTTCATCCATGTAAAAATTCAAGTTTTGTTAGACATGTCTGTAGTACAAAGTATTAGAGTTAGTAGATAGCGAACTATAGTTACAAATTTTTAACAGAGTGGCATGGAGAGAAAGCTGGAGAAGGCCAAGATTACGCTGAATGACTGTTTAGCATGCAGTGGATGTATCACTTCAGCAGAAAGTGTCCTTATCACACAGCAGAGCCAGGAAGAACTGTACAAGGTCCTGCGGGAAAATCTCCGGTTACAGGAGGTAAAACAAGTGTTATTTTATATTTTCAGATTAAGATGTTGGAACCCCAATATTTATAAATTGCTGAGAAAAGGATTCTCATGAATTCAAAAGACCAGACTGTGAAACGTGGAAAATACAATATTTTACATTCAATTTTCAAGCAATAGATGCAAATGTATATTGCAAGATTTTCTGTTTCCATGATGGTAAGGGAGGCTAGTTTGTGCTTGAAAGTTTTAGAATGCTTCAGAAGAACTAATGATTAATGTATGTTTGATGTTGTAGACTGGTGATTCCAGTGGACAAAGGGTGGTGGTGGTATCTGTTTCTCCCCAGTCCAGAGCCTCCTTATCAGCCAAATACCATCTGTCTGTCACAGATACTGCACACAAACTTACATGGTTCTTAAAAAAATTAGGTAACCATTTAGCTGCGGTATTTCAAAATTAAATGAAGTGCTTATTCCTTGATCAATTGGTTTAAAGGTGTAAACAGAAATTGAGTAGGTTACTAATTCATAATCAACAATAGTGTTGATGACTTTATCAGCAGTCTAATAGCAAAAAAGGTTCTTATTGGTAAAGCCATTATGAAGCACTAGGGGAAAATTAATATTGAAACGATTAGATAGATGTACAAGCTTGCTATCCAATTCATTTGATATATTTATCAGTAAAATTTATAAAAATGAAAAAAAGTAAATGCAGGTAGTTTAGAATATGTTGTATAGACCATTACATGTACTCTAAAAATACAGTTGTATTACTGAGTAATTAGTATACAATGAACAGGTACAAGATTTTTTATGATAACAAAATATTTATTATTCAAAGTTGGTCTTGATATTTGGAAATATCTTGTTAAAGACAATCAAAAGCTTGAAGTATATTAATGTCGCTAAGCAATCTTTTGCCTGTGTGATCTATGAGAATGTGTTATGTAACCTATTTTGTCTACTTATAAGTTTTAATGATAGTTTTCTTTTGTCTCTAGGTGTCCACTATGTGTTTGATACAACATTCTCACGCAATTTCAGTCTACTGGAGAGTTGTAGAGAGTTTGTTCAGCGGTATAAAGATTCAGAGACAGACAAATCAGCCTTGCCTATGTTGGCATCAGCTTGTCCAGGTAAAGGATTTGTCTTCTGTCCAATTATACAAAACAATTAAATACTACAAAAATGAACTGCTGAACATTGAATCAGTGTTTCTAGTTATATTGTGAAGTTACCTCAATAAAGTTCACATTCTGCTTTGTGTTCTATATTCATTAGTATAACAATACTTCATTGAAGAATAAATGAATTACAAAGAAAACGCCTTCTTTGGCGTACTTTTTGTACAAGGACCATATGTATTTGTGTAAGAATATGACAAACTGGACAAAACACTTTGATTTTTTTTTTCTACTTGTCCAAAAATTTGTACCTGGTAATGATATGTTTCTTATCAATATAAATTTGACCTTGATTCCTTTTGAGGTCACAGAAATGAGATATAAATGTATTTGCAAGCAGCATTGCATACAGGTAAGTGATCTTGTGTGAATTACTTATCAGCTGGCTTACTTTCCCCAGGTTGGATATGTTACGCTGAAAAGACACATGGAACCTACATACTGCCATACATCAGCACAACAAAGTCCCCACAGCAAGTCATGGGGTCACTTGTAAAGGATTATCTTGCTGGTCAGTTGGGTGTCCAGCCAAATAACATCTTCCATGTTACAGTCATGCCTTGTTACGACAAAAAACTGGAAGCATCACGATCTGATTTCTACAATGATATATACAGCACCAGAGATGTGGATTGTGTCATAACAACAGGTGGGTGTATTGAAGATTGATGAACTTCCTTGGAAGTAAATTTTCCCCTTTTATCAGTTTTGTGAGACAAATAATACAAATGTATGTCTCCTTTTATGCAGTGTGTATTGAAGTATATAAAAGAATTTTTGTGTGATAAAAAAGTATAATTAGCTTATTGGGCTATACATTTTTCCACGAAATCATGCAGCCCATGAAAATATATTTTAAGACATGTAATTAAAAACCTTGCTTTTTTCATATTTGTGTCAGTATAATCAAATGAATAATTCATTGTTTATAACAACATAAATGCAGTTAGCAAGATAGTCTGTGTATGTCAAGCATGGTGATTAGTTTTATTTTCGATTAATGCTTCCATGAGACAAAGAGTCATAACCTACAATAAAACTGGAGGTATATCAGTTGTAATGCAATTTCAATTTGGGCATCTCACTTCATTATGTAATTTGTAAGTCCCCCAAGAATTCTTTTATCAAATTTGCTCCCTTTAGTCACATGGACTCAGCCAGCAGTTTCTCCTGCTAAGCTTATGTAAGACCCGTCAACTGGGTCTAATCGAAGTCTTGTCAAGTACCACAGCTGTTATAGCCCCTTAGCCAAATTATGCTGATGATTGATAATTGCATAGCTGAAGCTTATATTTCCCTTGTAATATTTGTAAATAAATTTTTATTTATGCTTCACGGAGACAAGTTTTTATCACCTACAATAAACTCATGCTTATAATAATGCAAAAAAAATGTCTTCTCCATATTTTTTTCTAAAACTTTTGCTTCTAACAAAGAATATGTATGCCATTGCGGTTGTGCTACTGTAAATGCAATAAAAACTGTTCAATCCATATGTGTATTGCAGGGGAAGTGGACCAGATGCTTATCAAAGAAGGTTTAAACCTTGGTGAAGTGGAGGGTCTTGATCTGGATACAATGTTAGTATCAACTTTATTTTATAACTTCTATCTTTCCAAGTCATCATTTTGATGTCAAGTTAAATTGAACATCACGTCTGAATTCACCCAACACATGTACAGGCAATAGTGCTAATATGTAATAAGCATCAGTTACAAAAGTGATCATTATCAAACAAAAATGTTGGTCTGTGAAATAAAATTTGAATTTTGAAATTTGGTAATGAAAATTCCAAAATATTTAACAAAGTTTAAAATTGTTCTATGCAATTAATTAACTTTGTTGTGAAAACAGTGGGGTTTATGTAATTTATTGATTGTGGGGAAAAATAGTTGTAACTAACTCGAAAAATTAAAAGTTCCCATTTTTTTCAATATATATACATATATTATGTCTTTACCATGCCTGTTTTACTGAAGTGTACCTGGAATGTCCCCACCTGATCTGACCAATCATGATGGAGGTGGATCTGGTGGATACCTGGAGCATATCATGAAATACAGTGTTGCCCAGATCTTTGGGAAAGAATGTGGCCAGCTTCAGTACAAAACTCTAAGGTATTGCATTGCAAAACTTGTATGCATAACTCCCAATTCATCTTTTGATCTTCATTGGTGTATATTGGTGACATTCTGTCTGACCGTTATAACTTGTAAAACATTTTGATAAAACCAATTCTCAAAATTAAAATTATAAGCAAAACTGAGTTTCAATATGGTGCATAGGATGTACAGGTCATCCTCCATACTCCAAGGGTTACGATCGCTTTTGTTCTCTGCACCCTTGGAATTAGTCATGGCAAAATTTAAGGTATTTTAAGGACAAGACAAAAGGACTTGTTTGATCCTTTGATGTACATAAAACCAATCTCGAGGTCACACAATGGAATATTGTCATGACATTGAAGTTGGGTGTTGCTTCTTTATAATCGTTAACAGGAATGTATCAGGCTGTGATTGGTCAGTTTTTTTCTCCTGGAACCAATCAAATTACTTCATTAGTGCCTTCAATTTTGCCACGACATGTTCCAGTGGTGCAGGGAGCGAAAGTTATCGTAACCCTTGGAGTATCGAGGAGGGTCATTCTCATAATGGTTAAAACCTATACATAGAAATATTTACAAGACTTTGATGAAATTGTTGCTTGCAGTCATATCTCTCTAATATTTCTTTGTAATGTTAATATCTTGTCTTGTTGTCAATTGTGCATCCTCTAGAGAGCAACTTGTCTTGATTTACTATTGTGTCTATGTTCACTAAGCACACTACTTTATTAGAAACCTCTTGTTTGAACTCTTTACAATTTTAATTATTTCACAAGTCTTTTACTGGAATTTAATTCAATACATGCAGGAATCAGGACTTAAAGGAAGTGACCATTGAAATGGAGGGTCATCCTCCCTTAAAGATGGCTATAGCATATGGATTTAGAAACATTCAGAATGTTGTACAGAAGGTGAAGCGAGGCAAGTGTCCATACCATTTTGTGGAGATTATGGCATGTCCAACAGGATGTAATAATGGTGGCGGACAGTTGAAGCCAGAAGCAGGGGAAGAAACAATGAAGGACAGACTGAAGTGTGTCACGGAACTATATAACTCATTGTCCACAGTGACACCTGACTGTGTACTGGGCATTGAGCATTTATATATTAACTGGCTAGGTGGGGCAGACTCTGACAAGGCCAAACAAATGCTCCATACAGAATACCATGGTGTGGAGAAAATAGCAAATGCTTTGACTATCACCTGGTGATAACACAGGGTCGTAGATTTTGAAAACTGTGACTTGGTTTGGATTAACACTCAGTTCTGCTCGACACCTATTGATCCTACCCAAGTATATCTAAAAGCTATGATTATTCAGTCTCAATATATGTAATTTATGTCTTCTGAGAAAAAACCGGATTATGATACTGTTAGATCTTGGGAATCATACATATTGGGGCTAGTTAAATAACCATGGAATTAAAGAAGATAAAATTTATTAAGAGTTAAAGTATAAAATGTTTAAAGAATCAAAGAGGTTAAAAACAATGTAGAATGTGCCAGAAATCATAACAATATGTATGGTAACGCATGTTCTTGGACAATATATAATAAGAATGTTTATAAGATTGTAACTATGACAAGGTAAAAATGTCCTAAAAGTTCAGGTGCAACATAAAATCCTGTGATAATTTTGATGATGTGTGATGTAATCAATACCATAAAATCATATACAACATACAGTCATTGTTTCATATTTTGTTTTAAATCTTACAAGGTTTTTCAGTTAACAACCATGCTTTCTTTATTTGATAAGATATTACCATATTTGAAAGGTCATTTCATTACTTGGATTGACCATCTGAAGATTCTCAGAAGAAAGTCATTTTCATAAATTCATCAGGGTAACTGACTTTTCATCTTTGGCCGAAACCTTAATACTGTAGACATTAACATGTCACAGTGTGTCCACTAACTGTAACACATACAATTGCTCAGCAGCTCAAAAGTTGTATCCTTAATGACCTTTACCTTCATCTATCTAGGGGTGATTCAAAGTTATTTTTTGGACAAAAACCTCCAAGAAAGGACTTGTGAACCCAAATCTTTTGATTTTGTGGATTTATTTATCATTCACAAATGAAGTCATGAGCAGCCCTTATCCTGCAGTTTTACTACTATAAGACATTGTGTCCTTTTATCATACAGTTTTACTACTATAACCATTGTGTCCTTTTATCATACAGTTTTACTACTACAAGACATTGTGTCCTTTTATCATACAGTTTTACTACTACAAGACATTGTGTCCTTTTATCATACAGTTTTACTACTACAAGACATTGTGTCCTTTTATCATACAGTTTTACTACTACAAGACATTGTTTTCTTTTATCATACAGTTTTACTACTACAAGACATGGTGTCCTTTTATCATACAGTTTTACTACTATAAGACATGGTGTCCTTTTATCATACAGTTTTACTACTACAAGACATGGTGTCCTTTTATCATACAGTTTTACTACTATAAGACATTGTGTCCTTTTATCATACAGTTTTACTACTATAAGACATTATGTCCTTTTATCCTACATTTTTACTACTATAAGACATTGTGTCCTTACAAGTATGCTCTGAGTGAAACACTGAATTTTGGGACTTTGGTGTTCAAGTCCAGAACTCATGATTTTCCTCTATATATCTCCTAGTACTTGGCCTCATCAAAATTTAGGAAATGGTGCTCTGGACTTTCCCACTAATGTACTGCATGTTCATAATGTAAACAAATATACATATATGTAAAGTACATAGTAATGTTCTGTAACCATGTTTTATGACTGTTAGTGTCATACATTGCTCTACCTTGATCAGGATAGTGCACTTTCCTACATCATTATTGATAATGGATAAAACAGGAAACTATCCTGGTTTGGGTGGAGCAGAGAATAACTATACATCATTCTGGTATCGCTAGTGTTCCTCTGAAATCAATCTCCATAAGTAGTCATTATCTACTACACAAACTGATAGACTTAATGTTAAGGCTACTGTGGGATATTTACCCAAAGCCTGGGCCAAGTAACGATTATTCATACTGACAATATTTTTTTATGTCAGAAATATATAAGAAACATCTTCTCGATGCTAAATTTTGTGACTATGATATTTTTGGTGTTTTGGAAACCCATCTTAATAATTCTATTACTGACAATGATATTATCCCTTGAAAATTAAAGGAATATTTCAGGAAGGATAGAACTAATTGTGGTGGTGGTTAGGTGCTCATCTATTCTAAAAGTAAACTTAGTATTCATTGAAGACTTGATCCCGAGTCTATTGGTTGAGGTAACCACACATACATGATAAGCCTATTCCTCCAAAACTCACTGGTTTATTTTATTTCTTTCAAGATTTTTAACAAAATATGCCCAGCTCATGATTATTATTCAATTCAACCTTACATTAATAGTAATACTGATCAACAGCCTCTTAAGACTCTTTATTTTTCCACTAGCAAGAACTCAAATATAAACTACCAGGTTTTTCCAAAAATTATGTCTGAATGGAATAACCAATCATGTCTGTTTCTAACAATGTCGTCATTAGTGCAATAAAAAAGATGTTTTATTTCAACCTGTAACAATGCTGAACACACATGCACTTCATTTTTTTAAAGTTAATGGAGACAGGAAAATTAATATAACTTGATGTCACTGAAGAAATAACTTGAACACAAACTTGTTTAGTTTCCATTCAATAAATAGTCCTGTCTGTAGTCATCCAGTTGAAGATTGTTCTCACTTCTTTCTTCATTGTCCCCTTTTCACTAATCAAAGACAATTCCATTTTCCTTCTCTTTCTGAACTGAGCGATTGTATTCCTCTAAGCATAATTAAGTGGTTGCCATGAGCTTGATGCAGTAACAAATAATTCCATTCTTGAGACGATTCAGAGATTTATTACTGGTACCTGACATCTTTTTTAAGTAAATGTTCTGTTCATACATTGTTGTGTCAGGTTTTTGTCTGCTTGTTATCTGTATGGACTCAGCAAAGGACCATGAATATGTATGGGCAATTTGCCTTTGCTGCCTTCCATTCCAGTTGACTTTGGGACTGATTGTCCCAGTCATCGAGTGATATTATTACCACTAAAACTGTTGGTATTAAGTATTCATTCATTATTTGACTGATGTGTATATTTGATTAGCAAGGAGAGGGCTTTTTTGGCAATGCCTGTTGCCCAATTCCATTTGTTGGTAAAGTCATGACAATACAATATTCTGAAATGAAAAAAAGCAGAATTATTACAGAAATCGAAGTATTTTAAAAGTTGAAAAATCTTTCAAAAGAAAACCAACTGTGAAGATCCCCCTTTTCCACCACAACAACCTTGATTTTGATACAGTAGTATCAGATCAAAGCTAATTCTCCTCTAATAATATAAATACACATTTAGATTTCATGTATTAAGTGGATGAGATTAGTAGCCATTTAGATTAGAAAAGATATCAATGGAAAATTATTCAGGTGTGCACCAATAATAGATTTACCTTTACTGTCTAAATCATTAAACAAGTTGAATCCTTAAAAAAGAATAAAACTAAAAAAAGGGGTGGAGGGGTCCAAAGTCCCGTAGGTGGTACTGATCAATAGATATGTCGGTGCAGGAATCCTAGGTGGATACAGGAGTATTCTAGCAGAGCTCCATAGACAATATGTACTAACAAGATGAAGGATGGAGCATCAATGCCAGGGATTCCGTGGATTTAGATTTTATTGGTTTACATGTTTTGGCCAAGCTTGTTAACGATAAGAGGTTGTCACTTCCGTGCTGTAATTTTCCTCTTAGCCATGTTGAAGATTGAGACCGGATGGTTCCATCGTTTTGAGAGTGGAAATCCACATTTCTTCCGTTCTGAGATGGATGTTGACGTTAGCTGTTGTTGTGGCAATAACAATAACTTTGATGTCGTCAATATTGTGGTTATTTGACGTCAAATGACAGGAAACAGGTTTGTACTGATTGGCGCTATGTATGTCAGTAAAGTGACCATACATTCTCTGACGGATAGAATTGGAAGTTTGTCCAACATATTCTACGGTATGTTACATTTCTGGCACTGGAGTAAATAAAACACTCGCAATTGAGACTGTGATAAATTCTGAAAGATTCTTTGGTAATATTACTGCTGAAAGTGAGTGTGTCCAACATATATGAGCAGGTCTGGCATGGTTTACCGCAAGGACGGCAACCAGGTTTGATGGTAGATCAGTTGACGGCAGCTCTGACCAATAAGTCTTTGAGGCAAGGAGCTCTGTGGTGTGCTACGGTGATACGATGGAGTGACATGGGATTGTCCAAATGTGGTTGTGTTAATAGACCTATATGCAGATCTATATTTCTTTTTAGTGGAGGGTTGGCAGGGTTGTATGCAATGATGAATGGGATTTTAGGATGACCAGCGGCCTTATCCTGGCTCAGTAATGGCATTCTAGGGAGGTTTCCTGCTTTGTTGATAGCTTGAGATAATAGATAATTAGGATACTCACTGGCCCTAAAATAGCCTTGTAGGTCACTGCAATGTTTATCATATTCTTAAAGGGTACTGCAAATCCGACAGATTCTGAGAACTTGGCTGAAGGGTATACTTCGGATTTGATGTTTTGGATGACATAAACCGTAGTTTAGGTGTGCATCAGTCGGTTTGGTATACAACAATGTTTGGAGGGTGCCATCATCCAGTTTGTAAACAGTGGTGTCTAGAAAAGGGATCTGTGATTCGCTGGCCTCGTGGGTGAACTTGATGGTATGGTGAAAGTCATTGAGGCTACCCATGAAGGAGTCTAATGACTCGCTGCCATGGGTCCAGATAAAGAAAATATTATCAATGCAACACCACCACACAAGAGGGGAGAAGGGTTGGTATGGTGAAAGTCATAGTTCGGAGCTCAAATGGTCCCCATACTGGTGCCTTGTATCTGAAGGTAGTGTTAGTTGTTGAATTCGAAACAGTTACAAGTGAGTATGACATGTAGGAACCTCAATAGTATTCAAGTGGAAGTGGATTTGTCAAAGAAAATATTATAAAACTGTGAGTTCGTCTGGATGAGTGGTGTAACACACACCACACAATGAATTTTCTGGATTTAGGTGTGGTTAAGTCCATGGCAGAAGTTTAGCTGAAGTAAATAAATAAGAGGCTAAAGTAAAAATTACGTTTTGGAAGGAGGTTTACGACTGGAATACTCTTTACGAATGGCAATAGCTGTTGTTTATAATCCAGTCTGAAGCCAAGAACCTTAAAAAATGGACCCCACTATCAGAGGCCTGCACTATCAACCAATCGGAAAAAGCTAATTTCCGTATAGTACAAGACACAACTGATTACAAAAAAGCCATTACCACCAGCTTAGAAGAAGACCTGGCTCTGAGTGACACTGACTCCAGTCGGACACTCATATCACTGAACCAACATGGTATAGTTATGAACACTACAAGTATGTACACGAGGACTCCACTTTGGTCCTGAACTCTATCTTTTGTCTAGATGAACTACCCTATTATCTGAGAGACAGAACTATATCTGTGTATAGCATATATGGCATCTTTGACTGTAAAAATAACAAACCCTCTGTGAGGTTAATTCTTTGTAACTCTTCACAATTGTATATCACATGATAAGAACAATCAACTTCATGAACCGTAATTTACACTTAAGCTTTCCGATTTTCAATGTAGATTTGTTCAGAAGATGGTTGGCCTAGCCAACTGAAACATGTAAACCACTATAATCTAAATCCTCGGAATCCCTGGCATTGATGCTCCATCCTTCATCTTGAGGTTATATCCTTGTACATAGATGTCACCATTCACATCATCTAGAAATGCAACACTAATGAAAAATACACTTTCAGATGTTCCATAGTATTCCACTAATGCTTTGAAAACTGTGTGATGCCACACTACACACTGATAGTCCTAAACACATTGAATCCACTGTGAGCTGTGCTGATCATAACGCCGGGTAACTGGGGGTGCCAGTGAAGCTCTTTAATGTCTGTCTGTCCCTGGTGTATAAATAAGAGTTGTGGAGGTACATCTGGCTCACTGTCTTGCTGTTCTATACTGTCCTTTTCTACACCCAGATCCCACACTGTGATCTGATCATCCGAGCCTGATGCAGCAAACACAGAACTGTCATTTGGGTTCCACTCCAATGATGTTATTGGTGCTGTGTGGTGCTTGAAGGCAGCAACAAACTTGCCACTCTGTTAAAAGACAAGGGAGGTAAATCTGTAGTGATACATTGTACACAACACAGTTTTTGCATAAATTAAATATATAAGCTAATATATTCTTGAATTTTATATATATTGTTTACTGAATTTAAGTTTGAATACTGTTTGAGGTAACACATCAAAAAAATAATTCCCAAACAAGGACGTAGCATTATAAACAAAAATCATAGGAGATTTGTATGCAAAAAGTACACCATAAGACTGCAATGTTGATCATACTTTGTCTACAGTACTACAAGTGATTTAATGGCATGCAGAGAAGAGCATGTAAGAAGATGGAGTGTTGATGTCACAGTAAAAAGATTAGGAGTTGATGCTAGAGTAAAAAGATTAGGAGTTGATGCCAGAGTAAAAAGATTAGGAGTTGATGTCACAGTAAAAAGATTAGGAGTTGATGCCAGAGTAAAAAGATTAGGAGTTGATGTCACAGAAAAAGATAAAAAGAAAAAGATTAGGAGTTAGGAGTTGATGTCACAGTAAAAAGATTAGGAGTTGATGCCAGAAAAAGATAAAAAGATTAGGAGTTGATGTCACAGTAAAAAGATTAGGAGTTGATGTCACAGTAAAAAGATTAGGAGTTGATGTCAGAGTAAAAAGATTAGGAGTTGATGTCACAGTAAAAAGATTAGGAGTTGATGTCACAGTAAAAAGATTAGGAGTTGATGCCAGAGTAAAAAGATTAGGAGTTGATGTCACAGTAAAAAGATTAGGAGTTGATGCCAGAGTAAAAAGATTAGGAGTTGATGCCAGAGTAAAAAGATTAGGAGTTGATGTCACAGTAAAAAGATTAGGAGTTGATGCCAGAGTAAAAAGATTAGGAGTTGATGTCACAGTAAAAAGATTAGGAGTTGATGCCAGAGTAAAAAGATTAGGAGTTGATGTCACAGTAAAAAGATTAGGAGTTGATGTCACAGTAAAAAGATTAGGAGTTGATGCCAGAGTAAAAAGATTAGGAGTTGATGTCACAGTAAAAAGATTAGGAGTTGATGCCAGAGTTTAGGAGTTGATGCACAGATAAAAAAAAAGATTAGGAGTTGATGTCACAGTAAAAAGATTAGGAGTTGATGTCACAGTAAAAAGATTAGGAGTTGATGTCACAGTAAAAAGATTAGGAGTTGATGCCAGAGTAAAAAGATTAGGAGTTGATGTCACAGTAAAAAGATTAGGAGTTGATGTCACAGTAAAAAGATTAGGAGTTGATGCCAGAGTAAAAAGATTAGGAGTTGATGTCAGAGTAAAAAGATTAGGAGTTGATGACAGAGTAAAAAGATTAGGAGTTGATGCCAGAGTAAAAAGATTAGGAGTTGATGTCACAGTAAAAAGATTAGGAGTTGATGTCACAGTAAAAAGATTAGGAGTTGATGTCACAGTAAAAAGATTAGGAGTTGATGCCAATTAGGAGTTGAGATTAGGAGTTGATGTCACAGTAAAAAGATTAGGAGTTGATGTCACAGTAAAAAGATTAGGAGTTGATGCCAGAGTAAAAAGATTAGGAGTTGATGCTAGAGTAAAAAGATTAGGAGTTGATGATGCAGAGTAAAAAGATTAGGAGTTGATGCCAGAGTAAAAAGATTAGGAGTTGATGTCACAGTAAAAAGATTAGGAGTTGATGTCACAGTAAAAAGATTAGGAGTTGATGCCAGAGTAAAAAGATTAGGAGTTGATGATTAGGAGTTGATGTCAGTAAAAAAAAGATTAGGAGTTGATGCCAGAGTAAAAAGATTAGGAGTTGATGCCAGAGTAAAAAGATTAGGAGTTGATGCCAGAGTAAAAAGATTAGGAGTTGATGCCAGAGTAAAAAGATTAGGAGTTGAGTTGATGTCACAGTAAAAAGATTAGGAGTTGATGCCAGAGTAAAAAGATTAGGAGTTGATGTCACAGTAAAAAGATTAGGAGTTGATGTCACAGTAAAAAGATTAGGAGTTGATGCTAGAGTAAAAAGATTAGGAGTTGATGTCACAGTAAAAAGATTAGGAGTTGATGTCACAGTAAAAAGATTAGGAGTTGATGTCACAGTAAAAAGATTAGGAGTTGATGTCACAGTAAAAAGATTAGGAGTTGATGTCACAGTAAAAAGATTAGGAGTTGATGTCACAGTAAAAAGATTAGGAGTTGATGTCACAGTAAAAAGATTAGGAGTTGATGTCACAGTAAAAAGTAAAAAAAAGATTAGGAGTTGATGTCACAGTAAAAAGATTAGGAGTTGATGTCACAGTAAAAAGATTAGGAGTTGATGTCACAGTAAAAAGATTAGGAGTTGATGCCAGAGTAAAAAGATTAGGAGTTGATGCCAGAGTAAAAAGATTAGGAGTTGATGCCAGAGTAAAAAGATTAGGAGTTGATGCCAGGATTAGGAGTTGATGTCACAGTAAAAAGATTAGGAGTTGATGTCACAGTAAAAAGATTAGGAGTTGATTGATGCCAGAGTAAAAAGATTAGGAGTTGATGCCAGAGTAAAAAGATTAGGAGTTGATGCCAGAGTAAAAAGATTAGGAGTTGATGCCAGAGTAAAAAGATTAGGAGTTGATGCCAGAGTAAAAAGATTAGGAGTTGATGCCAGAGTAAAAAGATTAGGAGTTGATGCCAGAGTAAAAAGATTAGGAGTTGATGCCAGAGTAAAAAGATTAGGAGTTGATGCCAGAGTAAAAAGATTAGGAGTTGATGCCAGAGTAAAAAGATTAGGAGTTGATGCCAGAGTAAAAAGATTAGGAGTTGATGCCAGAGTAAAAAGATTAGGAGTTGATGCCAGAGTAAAAAGATTAGGAGTTGATGCCAGAGTAAAAAGATTAGGAGTTGATGCCAGAGTAAAAAGATTAGGAGTTGATGTCACAGTAAAAAGATTAGGAGTTGATGCTAGAGTAAAAAGATTAGGAGTTGATGCTAGAGTAAAAAGCTAGAGGGTTGATGTCCGAGTAAAAAGATTGACAGTTGGTGTCTGAGTAAAAGGATAGGGAGTTGATGAGCAAGTAAAAAGATAAGGAGTTGATGCCAGAGTAAAAAGATAAGGAGTTGATGCCAGAGTAAAAAGATTAGGAGTTGATGCCAGAGTAAAAAGATTAGGAGTTGATGCCAGAGTAAAAAGATTAGGAGTTGATGCCAGAGTAAAAAGATTAGGAGTTGATGTCACAGTAAAAAGATTAGGAGTTGATGTCACAGTAAAAAGATTAGGAGTTGATGTCACAGTAAAAAGATTAGGAGTTGATGTCAGAGTAAAAAGATTAGGAGTTGATGCCAGAGTAAAAAGATTAGGAGTTGCTGTCACAGTAAAAATTAGGAGTTGATTTCTCAGTAAAAAGATTAGGAGTTGATGTCACAGTAAAAAGATTAGGAGTTGATGTCACAGTAAAAAGATTAGGAGTTGATGCTAGAGTAAAAAGATTAGGAGTTGATGTCACAGTAAAAAGATTAGGAGTTGATGTCACAGTAAAAAGATTAGGAGTTGATGCCAGAGTAAAAAGATTAGGAGTTGATGTCACAGTAAAAAGATTAGGAAGTGATGCCAGAGTAAAAAGATAAGGAGTTGATGTCACAGTAAAAAGATTAGGAGGTAATGTCTGAAATGTCTGAGGATTTGGAGTTGATGTAGAGTGAAAAGCTAGAGGGTTGATGTCCGAGTAAAAAGATTGACAGTAAAAAGATGGTTGGTGTCTGAGTAAAAGGATAGGGAGTTGATGAGCAAGTAAAAAGATTAGGAGTTGATGCCAGAGTAAAAAGATTAGGAGTTGATGCCACAGTAAAAAGATTAGGAGTTGATGCCAGAGTAAAAAGATTAGGAGTTGATGTCACAGTAAAAAGATTAGGAGTTGATGTCACAGTAAAAAGATTAGGAGTTGATGCTAGAGTAAAAAGATTAGGAGTTGATGCCAGAGTAAAAAGATTAGGAGTTGATGCCAGAGTAAAAAGATTAGGAGTTGATGCCAGAGTAAAAAGATTAGGAGTTGATGTCACAGTAAAAAGATTAGGAGTTGATGTCAGAGTAAAAAGATTAGGAGTTGATGTCACAGTAAAAAGATTAGGAGGTAATGTCTGAAATAAAAAGATTGACAGTTGATGTCTGAGAAAAAGGATTTAGAGTTGATGCTAGAGTGAAAAGCTAGAGGGTTGATGTCCGAGTAAAAAGATTGACAGTTGGTGTCTGAGTAAAAGGATAGGGAGTTGATGAGCAAGTAAAAAGATAAGGAGTTGATGCCAGAGTAAAATGATATGTGTCTGAAATAAAAACATTGGGAGTTGATGTCTGAGAAAAAAGGATTTGGAGTTGATGCTAGAGTGAAAGGCTAGAGGGTTGATGTCCGAGTAAAAAGATTGACAGTTGGTGTCTGAGTAAAAGGATAGGGAGTTGATGAGCAAGTAAAAAGATAAGGAGTTGATGCCAGAGTAAAATGATATGTGTCTGAAATAAAAACATTGGGAGTTGATGTCTGAGAAAAAAGGATTTGGAGTTGATGCTAGAGTGAAAGGCTAGAGGGTTGATGTCTGAGTAAAAAGATTGACAGTTGGTGTAAAAAGATGGGGTGTTAATACAAAAACATAAGGAGTTGATGGCAGAATCACAGATAACTGTAATAATTATACACCTGTTATCTACACAACCTACCTGGAACAAACGTAGATCCCACACTTTAATCATTCCATCATCACCTCCTGATAAAATGAAAGGTTCATTCCTGTTCCAATGAATAACATTGACATCACGGTCATGAGCGTCACTAGCTGTCAGCATACAAGCTTTTGATGGTGACTGTCTGGCATCCCATACACGCACAGATTTGTCTACTGAGCATGAAGCAAATACCTACAACAAGATATTAATTATTTCAAAATGCAACAATAAAAGATTTGATACTTAATCTTTGAGCTCCTCAGGAAAGCTGGATTATGTTTGTGAAGAAGTAATAAGAATATCAAATCATCCAGCACTTTTCCAGAAATAGTGATAACAAGAAGGGCGATTTGAATAGCCCACCATCTGATGATGGTGGGCTAACAAGATCTTTGCATTGAACTAGCCTATGTTAACTTTGAAGATTAAATAGATTTTCAGTAACTTGCTAATTTAGGTGATTAAATTCTCCTAATGCAGGAAAAAGACTTGTCCCAGTATTACAAATAACCTATGCAGTTCGCTAAACAAACTTACATGTAAACTTGCTATGTTTGTACATGTAATAAATAAAGAACAAGCTCACTAGGGTAAGTCAGTACTTACATTTGCTTCATTTGGTGACCACTGTATGTCCTCCACTGAGGAGGTGTGGCCTTTGAAGGGCCGCTGATCCACATGCCAAGTACCACCTTGTTGAGGGTTCCAGACATGTATATTCTTAGTACAGTCTCCTGTGGCCAAGCGTCCTGCAATAAAACACCCAATCTACAAAATCTTCAGTCACTTAATGACCGTCCGATTAACAATATATCTCTTCTTTCTCATAAATATAATCTTCAAATGAATCTGAATTATGCAGTATTTTTCTAACATTAGTGACAAAACTTTAAAATTGATCAAATACCTGTTAATGACAAGAGATCCCAGGTGGGGATCTTTATTGGTTACAGTTTCTAGGTAAGTGAATCTCTCCAATGCTTTCTCTTCTTTCCTCTTATTAATTCTTGACTATTTGCTGCCTTAACGAATTAAATCAATCTAATTAATCAAACCAACAAGTAAAATTTGAGAATCATCATTCAGGTACTTCTTGACAATTAACTTAAGATGTCCAAATACAAGATGGCCACCTGTCAACCATTTGGTTTTTGCACAACAAATACAAAAAAAAGTCTAAACATGAATGAACAATCCATCAAACACTTCTCAAGAATTAGAGATAAATAAATAAAAGACAATGCACAACAATGGACAAAGTGTAAAACTAAACAAGAAACAGCTATACCAAACTTCAACTTTCTATATCCAAGATGGTTTTGATCAGTCGTAAAATCATCAGAGCACCAGTGGGTTCTAATCGGAACATACATATACAATTTGAGGATGATCCATCCTGTGCTTCTCTTGTGATAACAAACTTCCTGTGTCAAAGCCCATGAAAGCTGCCTATAAGCAATTTTATTTTTCTAATTACTAAAAATCAAATGGTACAACCAGGGACCATGAGGAACCTATATATGAAATATGAGAAAGATTGATTCAGTACTTCTCAAGAAATTGCAATCACAGACATTTTGTTTGTTTTTTTCTGATAAGTTGGACCAATAAAAGAGCATAGCTAGGGACCAATGAGAACCTATCTATATGAAATTTGAAAAACAAATCTATCATTGTACTTTTACAGAAATAGTGATGCCAAACTGCTTTTGTCAAACAAGATGCCTATGGGTCTTAATGGTCATCTGACTACAAAGACTTTCAGCAGGGAGAAGGGTTATTTTTTCAACTTTGAATGAATCTTACTAAGAAGCTGACAAGGTAGAAAAATAGTAACACTTTGTTGGCTACCTTTTCTTAACATTCTCATCAATGTTTAGCTATATGACACCCTTCGGGTCAGATGACCTAAAAACACTGAAGAGTCAAAATCATACAATGACATTTCCTTTATACCTGGAGTTGTTGGGGACCAGTCTACTGCATATCCCTCTGTTTGGTGACCACTGAAGGAGAAGACAGGGGGAGGCGACTCCTCATTGCGTGTGTATACTGCCATTATATTGGAGTCATTTACTGCCTGGAGCGGCCGAGTCAGGTCCCAGATGTACACCTTTCCCACTTCAGACCAGGATGCTGCTATGGACTTATCACCAATATTAGTGGCCTGAAATACATAACAACTTACCAATAAAACCACAAATCTGATTTAAGATACTGACAGAACTAATTTTTTTTATGTTGTGGTTGTGAAATAAATATTTGAAATAAGACTAATGAAAAACATATATATACTATGAACAAACCTGATTGTTACAGTGGTACCAGTAAAGACTTACTCTTATTCTGTTAACACAACCAGTATGTTGAATCAAAGCTGTTTCTAATTCAGGTTTTTTTTCATCATCGTCATCATCATCACTTTCCTCGTCACTTTCTTCTTCTGTGTCAGGTTTTTGTTCTTTGGATGTGCGATGAAGGTTGTTCATTTTCATCACAATGACATGGTTAGTGTGACCTCTTTCCCCCTGAGTTCCACTAACAGTGTAGCAGGTCAGTGGGAAGCTTTCCCTTTTGTCCCCAAGGGAGTCACACAAAATGTCAAAGCTAAGGCAAGGAGCTCCTGTTGATAAAACAAAATGTACCAAAATTTCAATCTAAATAAATGTACATTTACTCCTACTTTTTAACATCTTCAGTTTACATTTTCTTTTATACACAATGATCTCTTCAGTTAGGGAAACTCCAAACCTAGTTACAACATCACTGTCACCTATCTCAATATTTAAATTGTTACAAGGTTGATAATCAAATACACAAATCTGTGACCAAGAACAATACAAAAATAGGCTAGACCATGGCGACCTCTCCTTGTAATGAATCTGTGGATAATGAGTGCATCTTTCTAAAATTTCATATACCAGGTATATGCTCCCATTATTTTGAAAAGGATCAGAAGCAATAAAGCGCATGTGATGTTTGTGGCCACGATCCTTCAGGAATCTCTTGTCTTTGATTTCTAAAGTTTGAACAATTTTATTATACAATGATATGTACCCTCGCTGCATGAACCATTATATTCTGTCTCCTCTACCATCTTTCTGAACATCCTAACTCTCCTAGTTTCAATGAACAAACTATTCCTCCAGAAACTCATTATTTTCTATGGTTGATAACAGCAATGCAGTTGTTATATCAGTGTAAGCCCTGTAGTGATACAAATTTTATTAAGAAAAACAATGGGCTAATTGGTTATTTTAAAATTTAGTCTTCAAGATATGGGTATGGAAATTGATTTATAATCTGGTTATGATTTCCATGTGACACAAGTAAAAATTAATGTGCTGTCCTGTACAGCAAAGAATACTGAATAGTAAAAAATATGTAAATAATGCAAGTACTTTGCACTTTCAAAATTTCATTAACCATTTTATAAAATTAACATTACCGGTATATCTTATGTTAAGTATGTTTAGGGAAGGGCTGGCATAGGGTAAGGGTAGATGGGTGTGCAAAATTATGCTTCCTTTCATCTTCAAACAGGAGGTAAACACTGGTTGATAACAACACCCATGCAGTTATATGGCGGCCCTTAACAGGTTATGTACTTGCATATTACGGAGTGTTTGCACATCCAACCATGTCAGACATCTTTATCATTTCAAAAGAAATACAATAGAAATGCATACAAATATGTACCAAACTTGTGCATCCTCACTCTACAGTAGATTCCTGTGATGTACATGTATAACAATGATATACAATCACCTACAATCACCTATCATTTACTTCAAATCTATATCCATTTGTTATGACAGTACAAATCTTATTCTAATGTTAATGTCAATGCAATTTTAAAACTGATTTAATACTTTGTTAGATTAAAGATGTCAATTCATTAAAGGCTCATGACATATCTATTTTCCACATCAAAATATCATCTGGACATCGGTTCCGGACCGTTCTGTACTTCGGAACAGCCATTTTGTTGAGCTGTATCACAAAAATTATTGACCTTTGTGACCTTGCACCTGGATAATTTGGGTTGTTGCCATGTCAAGCTTCCAGAAAGAATTAAAATTTGTGATTTAAACCATTCACCATAAAATATTAAGAGTATATATTTCATTGGCAAATTTGTGTATTTTTTCCAAATAGAAATTTTTATAAGTCAAACATCCTTTCAGATATGATGAAATAACCTATCAAACATCCTCGGATGCCGATGTATTGTTGTTTGTTGTTTTGTTGTTTAACAAACAGGATGCAGCTTCTCATAATTTTTTGGCTATGGAAGTTCAAACTTGAATATCTTGAAAAAATGAAGATTTATGAATGATCACACTTGACGACTCAATTCTGATTTAATTTAAATAGCGAGTTGTAGACCAAGAAAATATGGCTCATTTGAAAAAAAAAGGGATTACACAATAAAACCTTGAATTGAACCCTTTAGAAAGGTGCACACATCACCACAGATGACAACCATTTTTGCACCATTATTTTACTTTGATGTTTTTGTCATCAAAATCAAGTTCCCATTCAGATGATGATTTTATGTAAAACATGTGCACTTCTGGATCACTCTAAGCTAACTCAAGCATCTCTGTGTTTTAGTGATGTCATCAGAAACGGAAGCGCAGGCACATGTCCAATACACATGTCAATAATTTCAGATGAGAAATTTGAAGTCTTATTCATGAATATCTTTTCTTAAGAAAAATATTGTACTCTTTAAATAAATCTAATAGTATAAACACATATCAAGTCATTTAAATGATTGTTAAGGGGTCCGAAACTAATGCACCAAGGATGCTTTCATGCATTACTGTCTCTGGCAACAATATTTTTAAAAATCCATTTTTTAACAGAAATATTGCTTTCCCTTCATGTAAATCAACATTGATGGCATGCCTGCACAAGATCAAAAGTCTCCATGCAGAAAACATTACAACATAAGTATTATTGAAAAGAAGAAGACTAGAGCACCTGTCTGTGCTTGGTGGTACATGACATATGCAGATTCATCACAGACTAATTGTTCGCCGTCTTTCAACGTTTCGCCAGGTAAATACACTTTGCTTTCTTCGGTATGTTCTTCCATTGTGTCCTCGCCATCGCTTTCATCGCTAGCGACATCCATTTCTTCAGCAGAATCGTCCGACATATCTTGTTTATCATCAGCCATGTTGAAAATAACCCACGTGTTGCCAACCTCGTTTTTAAATTGACCCCAAAAGAGGTCAAGCTTGACCAATCAGACGTTTCGGTTCTTTTCTTGGCCTTCGATACATACAAACAACATGGCCGAACAAGTCTGGAATGAGAGGTAAAATGTTTTAGTCTTGCTTTATTTTTTTTAGATAATAATTATTGGAAAGTTCTATCTGAATAAATGATATAATTTTTAATCTCATGAATGGTGTAGGTACGCGATATGGAGGTAATGAAATGGTGCCGGAAGTTTGCCTAATCGATTTGTTGACACTGATCACTGCTACTAATATAACCCATTCAACTGTTCAGCAGATCGCTTTGATGTGGACCCACTATACATCTAATGCAGGGTAGTAGTTGGCTATTACACTGTAAATAGAATATATTGAATTTGAGTGATTTTTACTCAGGTAATAATCGGACTCGTTTGTAAATCTAGATCATTATGTGACATACGTCGTTACACCTACTTCTTGAATCTCTGTCATTCATCACATTCACTGGCACCTCCATCTGGTAAATAAATAAAATGAAATGGACACTGTTTAACAGTTAGCGTAACATTATCAAGAGGACGCACATTTAATAATATATGGATATACATGTGTAACAGAGGTCCTTATTTATTTCAATGTCTCAGCTAGGATTCAAACCTGTGATCTCTGGCTTACTTGGCTGACACTCAACCAAATGAGCTGGGGAGTTCTCTTTAGGAGAGTGGTACATTACAGTTAGTTAGTAGTATTTTACCACAGTCACATACTCCCTCTTCAGTTAATTATTCATCCTGGAGTTTCCAGGGATCACATCAATGTTTGTGAACATATTGCTAAGTATTCTTCCCAACTCTACACAAGAGATTGTTTACATATTTCAATACCTCCACTATGATTCAAACTCACTTCCTTTGTCTTACTGAAATGATCAAGCAGTATATTGTGGCTTGTATTTTACTAGAGTTACATGTTATATACTTCACATATCATTATGAACTGCATGTTTCATGGCTTCTCTCAAATACATACGTGTAAAATTCATAGAAATATAATTAATACAGCTGTGATACAGTAAGGAGATGGGCAAAACAAAACCTTTCAGATCATTCTGTGCAAACGATGATGCATTTCTCTCTACTGGAAAGTGATGAAAGTTTCTGAAGGTTAAGGTTCCTCATGAGCCATAAACTGGAAATCAAGTAAACAAGAAATCAGATGCGCTTTTATCTTGATTGGTTATTTTTTTTTTCAACAAGATTCTGGCAACGTGCATTAAAAACCATTTGTGGATTATTGATATGAATTATTTAGGTTTTTAATATGTTATTATTTCCACATGAAAGCTTGAAAAATTAAGATATTTCATTGATCAAGGTATTATTTATCCAATCAATGGCTCGGATGCTCCTTGTCTGTTCTGCGATTAAAAGTCCCAGTTAATTACTAGTAGTTCAAGGTGATCACACTTATTAAAACATGTTGTCATATACAAACATACCCTTACTTATACTGGATCACTATGGCTTTTGTGCACTTGGCAACTCGTGTCTGCAACAGAGCATCTGATAATATGACATACATTAAAATATAACAAAATTTTCGCTTTTTTAACCCAAATAACCACCCACCTGAAATTACCGCCCATGGACGGCTTATCCATTGGGTGACTTTCTGGTAGAGATCCTGATAATTATAAAGTGACTTGGTTTAATACCCTGAAAACTGTAGGACAATTAACAAATCCTATATATCAACTGGATGAAGATGTCAGTGATCTGAGTAACTATGGCATGTTACAGATTTGCTAATCCCCCCGTAGCAAGAATAGAACTCATGGGGGCCTAATCAGCCATAAATTAGGGCAATGATTTGCTTTCCTCTGTCATACAATGTTTTTGGTCCAAAAGCATAAGGAATCTTCCACAGCCATATCAATTTTTGGGGGAGTAAAACTGATGTAGGATAATGACATATTGAGATAAAAGTTCAGGATATGAGATAATGGCACAGTTGTTGTATCTGATACATGAGCTGTAAATTTAACATTTTATAAATTAATATGTTACTGAACTCTGAAAACTGCAGTTACTTAAAACAAAAATGCAAAATGCATGTGTCCTGGATGTTGATTGACCATGGCAATGAATGACCCCCACCTTTTTAGAATGAATTCTATGTATTAATTTAATCTGTACTTGTGCATGAGCAAAGCTACATGAATGTAAATTATGTTCATTACTGAAATAAGACTACTCCTCATTCTATCAGGTTAAGCTTTCATTCCAAGGATACTATTGTATGTATAGCACTGTTGTCTATGTCTGTGTTACCTGCTACCTCTAATGGTGATGGTATTTACAGATGTTCTAAGCCTTATAAGTTGCCCTTAGGTCTCCTGTCATGTATGTCCATGCTACCCTGCATTTGATTAGTTACACTTCAACCTCATGGATTGATGCATTGTAGCAATAACTATTGATTGGTAAGGCAGCTAGATAATATTTTTTGCACTATCATTGATTCCAGCCTCGGTTGATATTTCTTTTTGTACTCCATAAATTCTCATATTGAACCAATGATAGTGCATTAATTGTTTTATTTCATTTGAATTTTTTTAATCATCCACCTCATATTTAACAAGCATTACAGAAATCCGGCATCTTGATAATTTCAAATGATGGGCGCTGAAAAAATACCTTTTTTTTTTGATTGGTTAAAAATGATGCATGACCTAATAGAAATTCCCATTTGTTAAAAATGCTTAAAAACGGTGCAATATGATAAATTATCTAGTTTAAAGTGCAATATCGATAAAAATTGTAGGACATGTGACTGTCTCTCGACAAATGAAAAATGCAGAATAAAAACAAAGATTCTTAATTAAATATATGCATCAAATGCTTATTGACAAGGGCTGTGCATGTGTTGTTGGGTTAATACTTTGTGATGCATGTGTTGACTTCACATGTAATTAACTGAATCATAGTTGTGTTGTAAGAATTTTATTTAAGATATCATTTTCTAGGTGACACAAGGAATGATGCAAGGATGCTTTAGTAACAATTTCCTGAAGTCATCTTGAAGGGAACTTCAGGATTTCCTTTTAATGCAGCATTCCTTTGTTTGAATGATAGAAATGTGCTCTGCTGTCTTTTTGTCAAATTTGTACCTAAAAGATGATCACACAGCCTATGAGTGATGGTATTAAAATGGAAGTGTCTTGAAATTATTATGTATAAACATTGTATATGCACAAGTAAACTTGAGGTTTTTTAATGTAAAACCAATTTTCATGAGGTAATACTTACCATAACTTTATTACACGATAAAGCAGTTCTGACTTCCTTCTGTTCAGAAGGATATGAAGGAGGACTCAGTCGCCTCAGCACGTTTGGTGAAGAGGTTTCAGGCTGAGAAGGCCAGTGCCTCGCAGGGGTCAGCGCCTCCCAAGAAGAGGCGATATGGAAATAGGCGTCCTTCAGATCTACCGAAGGTACCCACATTCCGTCCTTCAAATAGGCCATGATGCCCCGTGGGGTCTCCATCTTGAAGTGAGGAGAATCTATGGCCTGTTGAAGGCACTGAGATCTATGATCGGATGCCACGCCCCGGACTTCTTCAGAATGAGAAACATTCGGGAGTAGAATCCGGGAGTGATTTCCAACATAGGAATCTCCTCTACCACGCCCTTTGCAAGCATGGTCCCTACTTCCACCTGGATTGCATGAGCCTTTTCCGAATCCCATGGAGGAGGAAAGAAAATCGCCTGAGCGACAAGGGGCATATCCGGAAGAAGGGGAATACCTAGACCCTCCTTGACCACAGACAAAGCCCAAGCGTCCTCCATGATCTCCTGCCACTGGGGAAGGAAAGCGAAGAGATGCCCGCCCACAGAAAGTTCAAGATGGGGTAGATCGAGCCCCTGCCAGACCAGCCATCTTCTTAGGAGGCGCTGACCCCCTCCAGGCACTGGCCTTCTCAGCCTGAAACCTCTTCACCAAAAGTGCTGAGGCGACTGAGTCCTCCTTCATATCCTTCTGAACAGAAGGAAGTCAGAACTGCTATATCATATACTAAAGTTTGGTAATTATTACTGAAATGAAATTGATACTTCAGACTGAATTAGAATTTTAGATTCTTTGTAATTTGATAACTTTAGGGTATTTCTAGTCTTTTAAATGCCATATTAATGTAAAGTTGTTAATGTTGACTATTCTAGAAAAATATGTTTCCTCTTTAGATATATTTTGATACTAGTGAGATAAAATAGTTTCAACAAAGAAATGCCTCTTTAAGCCATTTGTTATTAAATTAAGTATTTATTGTCACTACATCTTAGATTCATAAATGCCAATATATTCACGTCAGTCAGAGATAATGATATATTCTGTATGTATAAGAGACATAAACTATTGCAGAGCTGTCTGTAACATTTCTACCTTATTAGGTCTCATGGTGACCTATTCTAATATCCTTCATCTGGCATCGTACGCCCATACACAATTAAACTCTTTTGACTTCTCAAAAACTCTGTTCAAATTTCAATGAAATTTTGCACAAACCTTCCATCAAAATTGTGAATTATATGTTACCCAACCCTCAACACCCAATTATTGCAAAATAAAATACTCTTCATGAATGGAAGCATCTGAAGGTGCTTTAATTACCAAAATGAGGATCACATTTCTTTCAAGGGAGGAATATTTTTTTTTTTAGACTTTTCTGGAATTTTCATAGAAAAATTGCATTTTTGAGCATAACCTTGTTTATTTCCCACTGGAAATAACTTCGTAAGAATTATCAGTATAGGATGACAGTTTTGAGGATATGCATGTATTGACACTGGCTTACTATGTCACAATTTCTGTTTCATGACACTTGATAACTATCCTTTAATCTTTACAGTACCGTAAATATTGCTTATCTCAGGTGACTGTCAAGGCCGCTAGGCCTCTTGTTTAGTAAATAGATCTACTAGTGTTTATAAAATGACCCAAATAAGTTTCCCATGTTTTGTGACAACCTCTTAGCTATTGTTTTTAAAGTTCATGTGTATACTTAGCTAGCAATTAGCATAATAATTGGATAGAGTATTGACTTAAAAATATTTATGAATTGATAGGCAAACCACTAAATTTAACTTTAAAAATACAGACTATCAGTCTGTATATATCTACAACATTACTGTTAAAATGTAACGTGTTCTTTGGGGAAACTAATTATTCATAACATACCCTATCTAGGAACAATCTCATGTTCACTATGTCTCTAATGAGATTATTTGTATGCTAAATCAAGTCCTTGAGTCATCGTTTGTTTATTTTACCTATCCCTTATATGATATATTGATTGTTGTGTTGACATTATAGGTCTGAATTATTCAGTGCACATTTCACATTAATAAAAATTATAGGTTTCAAAGTGTCAAAGCTTTTTGTCTTACTGTTCTTGATTTAAAGGATAAATGGTTGATGACTTCAGGTTGTTATAGCGATGACCTTGGTAGGGATGTATATCCACATTATAAAAAAAAAAAAAATGAAAATCATAGTTATGTGTATATTCTTGTTGATAACTGTTCCACCATACATTTACCTAAGAGAGCAGTGACTAATTCATGAAAAACTTATTATGATGAAGTGATAGATGTTCTTGGTTTTGTAATGATCTAAGCACCAGAAAATAAAATAGTAAAATATTGTCGGAACCAGATGATGCTTTTATTAGAATGTTTGATATTACAAGTACTAGTGAAAATGCAGTATTTTCACCTGAAGTATATTTTGAAATAGCTTGAAGGGTTGTCTTTTTTTACAGTATCTGAGCAATGTTGATCCTACACAAATATAAGGCAAATATGGATGATGAATTAATCAGTGTTTGTAAATGGTGTGTTTGTCAATGGGACATATTAATACCAATAAGATTAGCTGGTAAAATTGCCTGTATCAATATGAGTGGTATTGATCATCAACGCCAAGTGAGCTTCTAAGCCTGTTGACAGTCTGTCCCCGAGCCTTCAGTGATCTTAAGAACTGTTGGGCTAAGTTCACCTGGATCAAATAGAAAAAAACTTTCAGGTAATAGTTGATCTAAAATTACTAAATAAATAGAGTGGACCTTCTGATAAGTTTGTTAAGTCTGAATTTCTTTAATTTGCTGTTACTAATAGGAGAGTTTTGACTTTATATATATTTTTTTGAAGAATTGCACAGAAAGCAACAACTATTTCAAAAACTGTGCTATGGAAAATAAAAAGATAACAATCTAATTGAGAATGGAGATAGTTCTTTAGTACTCTGGTCCCTTAATAATGTTTCGTAGAAGTTGTTTGGGACAAAAAAAAAATGATGAAGGACCCAAAAATCGGCAGCTTGTATCCTAATTATTAGAAATAAAAAATGATATATGGTGTTAGTGCACCTCTTACATAGTATGTATGATACCTATAGAAAGTAATTTTACAAAGAAATTAGGTTTGTTAAGTAAATTCTGGAAAATCCTGGCTGTTTTTTATTATTTGATTCATTGTCATTCTAATACTGTAAATAAATTAATTTGACTTGATCAAATTTTACCACAATATCAATTGTGAACATGTAAGTAAGTGCAATGATGAATCCATACTCTAATATTAGTGACAGACAAAAGCTGCAATTAGCACAGTCATATTCGAGCACAACAGCTAGCACGAAAATATCAGTTGCAAAAGCACTATCAGCAACTTAACAAACATTATTAGTGTTAGGATTTTATGATCGTGTTGGGACCCATACTGCAGAATATTGGATTGTTTTTAGATAGATTAATGGTGTTTGTGAAAGTTAGTAACTTATATTTATGCAAATGTACCAGTAGACACATATATCTCCTATATTTACACTTAATTGCTGCAGATGTTACAAATGTTTTGAAATCTGGTGCAAGACATTATTTCATAATGGTTATCTGATCTTTATAGCTGCCACAAGAAAAAATATAATTTTGTATCTTCATAATATTCCACTCAGTAGTTGAGTTGAAGATATAATGCACTTGTATGGATGCTGTGAAATGTTCTTGGAGTGATTTTGGTCTCCATAGCTATGACATTAAGATATTGTCTCATTGTTTGCTAAATTCTGGTTTTTGGCTTATTGAGTTGAACAATAATTTCTCTGAAAGTAAAAGTTTGTTTAGAAAAATAAATGTTCTTTTGTAAGCCTAGGTTAGATTATAACATATTACTAATAAAAGCTCAGACATTTCACAAATCAAAACCACATCTTGGTTCATTCTAAGTATAATCAAGCCTTTTTTTTGTATGTAAAATGGCTAAGAAATGACTTCAGTGAACACCAGTATATGTTTATTACTTGGCTCTGATTAAACATGTTGTTTTTTCTTGTAAATACTGCTTTAAATTTTGAAGTCTATTTTGTATACCATTTTTCCCTTCCTTTTTTTCTGCTAAATTTCTAAATTTATTGCATGTTAAACCTGGGTGTAGAATTTCTCTATCATCACATACTTCCTGTACTTTTTATTTTCTTTCAAAATTTGGTTGTATATATGATATTGTATCATAGATTTGTTTCAGTGTCAATAGGGAGTAGAAGTATACATTGGATAGGACTTAACTAAGACAATTAACAAGTACACAAACGATTCAAACACATATTGTAAAATTGTATCAGAAATTCAATGGAAACTATAAAAGTGACTGAGCATACATTCCCAACTAGTTCAGATAATTGATTTTTTTGTCAATGCAAACTTGTAAGAATAATGGTCGAGTGAAATGATAACAGGAATAATCTATAATGTTTCAGGCTTGTGTATTACTTTTCCTGTGGTGAGAAAGTGTGAGGTAAAATCTGCCGGTCAAATAACATTGATTTTCCACTGTGTGATTGTCATATGGAATGCTGTGGTCAGCTTATAGACAGTAATATATCTGTCTGTACCATTTAAACTGATTATCTGATTGTTCTGAGCTGGGATTGTACATTTGTTGTAAGATCAGTCAATGTCTTTGTACAGGCCTTCTGAAGGCTCGGTGTAATCATTACTGGTATTTCTGATCGAACATTGACTACAAGAAGCCGGCTGATGTGACATGGTACTGAGTTGTTGTGCGTGGTTAGTAACCAACGCTAACATCACATAAACATAGCTTCAGATGCTGGCGATAATGATGACAGTCCTACCTCTTACTGCACGACTGATTCCTGACTTTGTGATGACAGTACACAAGCTACGCCTTACTGTATAGTCACGCAGGCATTGTGACGTTAGAAAGATAACCCAATATAAGTGTATTTGTCTGTACACCTAATGGACTATAGGATTCAGTACAAGTATATTGAGGTGTTTACAATGATTGTCATCATACCTTAGGGAACTGTTCAGTATTGGATTCTGAAACACCTGGATTTTACTTCAACAAGATTTTAAAGTTGGTTTATCAATTTGTTCAAAGCTGGAATTGGTGCTATCTTTGGCTGCTTACATACTTATTTTTTCATGTTGAAAATGATAAAAAATATTCAATGAGTTTCTCAGAGTATGGAAAATACACTTTTTTGGAGAAAATTGCATGATGCACCCAGATATCTGAAAAATCCAAGTCCTCAATCAAACATGGCTGTTCGAACTAACAGAGCACGGTAAGATGTACATCTAATACACCTAATGTATAAATCATTCTATTTCTGTAACGCTATCCTTCTCCTGCCAATCCTACAAGCTATTGATACTTTTAAAGAGATCTTAACCACAGATAACTTATTAATATATTAGAACATTCTATTACATGTAAATATTTTATTTGAGAGACAGCTATCAAACGCAATTTTCAATGACCTTATAAAATTGAATCTTATTACTCTATAGCCTTTCTAGTATTGATCAGCTGAATTTTGTATCACCTTGGAAGAATTAATGACTGTGTGTGATCAAGTGCAATGGGAATCAGATGAAGATGGGAGATATCTCCATTAGAATTAATGCTGATGGGATTAATGCTGATGGGAGATATCTCCATTGGGGATTAATGCTGATGGGATAAATGCTGATGGGAGATATCTCCATTGGGGATTAATACTGATGGGAGATATCTCCATTGGGGATTAACGCTGATGGGAGATATCTCCATTGGGGATTAATGCTGATGGGATTAATGCTGATGGGAGATATCTACATTGGGGATTAATGCTGATGGTAGATATCTCCACTGGGATTAATGCTGATGGGAGATATCTCCATTGGGGATTAATGCTGATGGGAGATATCTCGATTGAGGTTTAATACTGATGGGAGATATCTCCATAGGGAATTAATGCTGATAGGAGATATCTCCATAGGGGATTAATGATTGTGAGAGATATTCCGAAAAGGAAACTGAGGCAAGTGGGAGATATTTCAACTATGGATTGATGTTGGTTAGGGAATATCTCCACTGATGATTACTGGTTGTGTGAGATTTTTGACAGGGAATTGAGGCCACTGGGAGATATCTCCACAGATGATTACGGGTTATGTGAGATTTTTGACAGGGAATTGAGGCCACTGGGAGATATCTCCACTGATGATTATGGGTTATGTGAGATTTTTGACAGGGAATTGAGGCCACTGGGAGATATCTCCATTGGGGATTAATGCTGATGGGAGATATCTCCACTGGGTTGTTGTAAGAAATATCTCAAATGAGGATTAATGTTGGGAGGGAATTTCCCTACTGGAAGTTGATGTTGGTAAGGTAAATCTCCACTGGAGACTTATGTTGATGGAGTTTATCTCTAATGGGGGTTGATGTTGGTAAGGTAAATCTCCACTGGAGACTTATGTTGATGGAGTTTATCTCTAATGGGGGTTGATGTTGGTAAGGTAAATCTCCACTGGAGACTTATGTTGATGGAGTTTATCTCTAATGGGGGTTGATGTTTGATTATTGTTAATTATGATATCATGTAATAATCATAAATCTTCAAGTATATTGTGTGGGGAGGCAGTTCTTATACCTCATGACTTGTAACTTTCCCCCAGATTTAGAATAAAGACTTGATTTAAAACCTTTTGGTTTTAAGATTTACGTTGTTTCCTTAATTCAGAGTTGAAAATGTTTTCTGCATTTTTGACAGTGACTGCTAGATGGTACATTATATGTCGTGTGTCAAAATTTCTCTGTGCTCAGTTGATCTAATATCCTTTCAAGATCGATGTATCATTGTTTTCAGCAGAATCATATGTTTTTATTGTCAGCACATACTCTTATAAAGAATATCTCACAAAAACAGCAGCTTAAACTGAAACAAAAAAACCCATTACTCAGCATCAGATTTAAATTTTGAATTTCTTTCGTATGTGTTGTAAATTGTAACATACTGTGAATCACTTATATTTTGTGAGGGATCAGATTTCATGTTTATTCACAAGCAGCAGTGAATTCAAATCCCTCACAAATAAACTTTTGTTGTTGTTATTAAATAAATGATTTCTGTAGTGTGGTATCAGCAAAATCATGTATTCATAAACAAGACAGTGACTTAGCTTTCGCAAAATTAAACACTTTCTGAAATAAAGTGGGTTACAGTAAAGGTACGATTAAAATACAATCTTAGTTTTTTCTTCATGAAAAAGATCACAATGATTGTTGTTGATTTCTTTCTCTTTACACAATGACATTTATAATTGTTTTTATTGGCTCGATCTCACCCACTTAAATATTAATAGGACAATTTTTTATCTTGATCCATTCCAGGTTCTTGATACACATACAACAAAATTATTTTTATAAAATATCTAACAGCAGTCTCTCATACCTATCATTTAGCTATCCCTTCACAATTCCTCTGAAGCCAAAGTTTGTAAATGCATATAATTCAAAGATGTTCATATAATTTTCTTGGTTTATCTACTTGAAGTTTTGTAATTGAAGCTTCTGTGTTTAACTTGTAGACATTATACATAGTTTTTGTACAAGATAGTATAGTATTTACAACCAAAACTACTGTTCTGTGGTTTTCAGATAAAATTTGGAACAGTTTTTACTTTCTAAGCTGGAATTTTCAAAAGTGTAGAAATTTAAACATTCCTAAGTACAATGATAATAATTGATAATTAATAACTTAATTTACAATGTTTTGATATGTACCAAAATCATCTTATCAGTAAATTTGATTCATCAGAACCAACATATTGATTTTTCTAAGTAACTGCCACAGGTTATTATTTACATGAATAGCTGTTAACAAAATAGGACCAGTATTATGAGATTTAAATGTAAATTTATCTAGAGAAGTTCTGGTGTCAAATAATGCTGTGTGAAACTTAATGAATAGATCACACTTATAAGTGATATATGAGTCAGATGGCCATTAAGGTGATACTGCTGTTAGTCTGGAGCTCAGTTGGTAATTCATGGGGCTTCGGTGGCACATCCTTAAACGACCTGCATGTAAAGCAACAGTAAACTAAAGTAAACTATGACAGTTTCAAAGAAAATTCCCCAAACTGCTGTTAAATCACTACCCTTTGGTAAGGACATTATCTCCCCTTTTTGAGCCAGGCATGTTACAGGCCAGTAGCCTAGTACCAGAGAGATATGATTCAATTTCCCCTGTGGAATCCTAATTAAACTACATCTTTGGTAGACTGGCTCAAAACCAAATAATCCTGTTCATATTTTATAATGCTTTATTGATTTACTTTCAAGGGCAACTTGATTGACAGGTCAGTAGGAAGTTTTTTACATGTTCTAGTATATGTTGGTAGGATGATAGCATACAATGTGTCCTACTGTGACCTAGAAATGGAGTTGACAAATTAATAATTCATGTTTCATTTATAATATTTTATCCAATAACATATTATATATATATATTATATGATATTGAGAAAAAAAGTCCCAATGCGTGAAGTTAGTTGTAATTGCTAACTTGATTATTCAACTAGTTTTATCACATGAAAGCTGCATTTGTGTCACTTGTCATAGGACCATGTCATAAATACCAAAACTCACATGTGTAAAATAGCACTACATGTATTGTGATATCACAGATAAGTCATGTCTTTATGATGTCACGAGGGCCTCATTAATAAGTCTGTCTTACAAAAATATCTATTTGAGAGTTTTTGCTTACTTTTCAGAATGGCTGGCTATATGATAAATAGAATCTTGCATGTGTGGCAATGTAATACGGAACTTATTAAACTTGTTGAAAATTTGATATTTTGCTTAGGCTTGCGACATATCATATTTTTGAGTTTTGTTTAATAAATTCCATATCAAACTGACACTGTTCCTTTGTGTACTGTTACTGCGATATTATTTTTATTTCATTATGGAAAAAGGAAAACAAGATATGTTGATTAGGAAGAGAGTTGAAAGCTAAGATGGTGTGTAGTAACAATGAAATGTGTATGTTACTCGAGAAACCTGTCTAATTTGTTTTTAAGAAATGCTGTGGGATTACATAGTTCAATATCAAACTGAAAAATGTGTGACGGAGCTTAATTTTGGACATTCAGCTTTCAAGTTGTAGATATAATCGTGTATTAAAGATATCAATTTTGTTATTTCACTGACCATGCAGGCTTACAATGTATGAATAGATCTAACTCCTCAACAAACATCAAATAAGTCGATTATGAATTTAAATTAAAAGGAGGGATCATTTTGGTAAATCAAAGAGCTGGGGCATTAGCTGTGGATAGGCATTGAAATTGTGTGGTTACACTGATATGCTGAAAGATGAAAAGTAGTGACTCTTTCCTGTACATAACTGGGATATTATTGTGTTGGAATTTGTACTACTGCCTGTATGTATGATTGAACAGAAAAGAAATCTTATGAATTATTTATCATGGACCTATAGGTTAAAAGACTTTGTAATGAATCTCCTGTGACATGAAAAGCCTTTCAAAGAAACCGTTTGTCAGGCAATATTTTTACATGTTTCGTGTATGTACATGTTTATAATAATATCTATAAAACATACATGTTGGGGTTGACCTAAATAAATCATTGACATATGAAAGTCTCCAAGGTGTACAAACTTATACACAAACTGGAATGTTCGCCACTAAAGACTGTAGGAATATATCTAGCATATATATATATACATAATACATTGTTGGCGTCACAAACAGATCATGCTATCATTACGGGTAGAGAATGAGTACATTGTCTATGTTTTCTATCTGGGAAGTCTCTGTTTTTTGAATCTCATAAAACAATGTTTATTTGCCATTTTCTTGGGATAGTCACTAAAAAGTTAATGGAATTTGAAAAGTGTCAGACAGGTTGACATGAGAAATGTTGAATCAAAGCTATATAGACTGTTCCATTGAACTGCAGTTTTATTAGTGATTTCCAAGATTGTAATCAGTGGAACTTTTGACAATGACTTCCAGCAACAGGGAATTATTGAATGTTTGATATGTGATAAAAAAAATTTCAATGGAAACCTTTCAAATGTAGTATGTATTGATTCGTGACTGAGTAAGTATTGATTTTTAGGACACTTATTGGATACCTAAAAGATATATGCTTGAAAACAGACCTGTTATTGCAAGAAACCTTGGTTAAGATAGTTCCACTTGAAGCTATTCAATTTTATCTCATTTTAACAAACCCTTACTGATTTACAAAATGGTGTCATCTCTC